GAAAGTAACAAGAATCAACCGGACAAGAGGGAGAAATCTAAGATAGACATCCCCATCATGTTTGAAGAAAGTGATGCATTAGAAGGCCATCATGACGGTCTGGTAATTTCACTCCCAATGAGAAACTGCATGATCAAACGAATCCTAGTTGACAATGGAAGCTCTGCAAATATCATCATGCTTGACACCCTGAAACATATGAACATAGATGAGAAGAACATCGTCAACAAGTCAGCAATGTTAGTGGGATTCAGTGGGGAAACCAAAAAGACAAGTGGAGAGATTACATTGGCAACATACGCAAAAGGGATCAACCTACAGGTCAAGTTCCTAGTGATTGATACTCTGTCTTCGTACAATATGATTTTACGCAGACCTTGGATACATGAGATGAAAGCCATCCCTTCTACGTACCATCAAGTCATTAAGTTCCCTACTAGGTAGGGTATTCAAGAAATCAGAGGAGATCCTAGGGAAGCAAAAGAGTGTTACAAGATAGCATTGAAAGCAACGTCTGCAGAAAAGAGTTCAGCATAGCAATCAGAGGGTCAGCTGGGCCAAGAAAAGTTGAGCATAGCAGAAGAACAAGAAGCTACAGAAGTCCAGTCGAACCCCAAACATCCAGATCAAAAAGTCAGAATAGGATCGGAATTGAAGGCAGAACTCAGACAACAAGTTTACGACTTTCTAGACGAAGAGAAAGACGTATTCGCCTGGACCTATGAAGACATGAAAGGCATCTCTTCAGACGTAATTACTCACAAGTTGAACGTGGATCCAATGCATACACCAGTAAAAACAGAAGAGAAGGAAATTTGCGCCAGAAAGGAACAAGATTATCAATGAGGAAATCAAAACCTACTGAAGACTGGGAAGATCAGAGAGGTAAAGTACCCAGAATGGCTCGCCAACGTAGTGGTAGTCAGGAAGAAGAACGGAAAATGGCGTATCTTCATAGACTTTACAGACATCAATAAGGCGTGCCCAAAAGATCTGTTCCCTTTACCTCATATTGATGCCATGGTAGACGCCACAGCAGGGCACGAGCTGCTATCCTTCATGGACGCCTACAGTGGTTACAACCAGATCCTCATGCACAAAGATGACCAGGAGAAAACCGCCTTCATTACCAGTCAAGGAATATACTGCTATAAGGTAATGCCTTTTGGATTGAAGAACGAAGGAGCAACATACCAAAGGTTGGTGAACAAGATGTTTGAAGAGCAAATTGGCAACACAATGGAAGTCTACATTGTTGACATGGTAGTTAAGTCCAAAAAGGCAGAAGATCACGTCAAAGACCTTAGAGAAGCATTTGCCATCTTAAAGCAGTACGACATGAAGTTAAACCCCACAAAATGCACATTTGGAGTACAGTCAGGAAGGTTCCTAGGATACATGGTCACACAAAGGAGGAATAGAAGCCAGCCCAGACCAAGTCAAAGCCATCCTAGACCTAGAGCGACCAAAATCCAAGAAGGATGTACAAAGCTTAACAGGGAAAATTGCAGCATTGAACAGGTTCATCTCAAAATCTTCAGACAAGAATAGAGCATTTTACGAAGTACTGAAGAAGAATAAGGAATTCAAGTGGGAACAAGAGCACGACAAAGCATTCCAAAAGCTGAAAGAATATTTAGCCAACCCGTTGATTCTCTCCAAACCCAAAGAAGAGGAGCCGCTTCAGTTGTACCTCGCAGTGTCTGAAGGGACAGTTAGCACAATTCTCACAAGAGAGGAAGACAAAGAACAGTTCCCAATCTACTACATAAGCAAAACCCTACTCAGTGTAGAAACGAGGTACGCATCATTAGAGAAAATCATTTTATCCTTATTCATTGCTTCAGTGAAACTACGCCCATACTTTGAAAGCCACTCCATACGAGTACGTACCAACTATCCCATCAAAGCTATCATGAGAAAGCCATAGATGTCAGGAAGGATGGAGAAATGGGCCTTACACTTGAGCAGATACGATATACAATACGAACCCAGGACGACAGTCAAATCACAAGCCTTGGCAGACTTCGTAGCAGACTTCAGCCCTACCCTTGAAGAGGAAGCACAGAAGGAAGTACTGGCGCTACAAGAACCAAAAGCTACACAGAAATGGATACTCCACACAGATGGCGCAGCAAACATACGTGGAGTGAGTTTGGGAGTAGTACTGACGTCACCCTAAGGAGACAAGATAACACAGGCAATAAGGTGCAACTTCAAAGCAACCAATAATGAAGCTGAATTTGAAGCACTAATCACAGGATTAACCGTTGCAAAGGACATGAAGATACAACATCTAGAGGTAATTTCAGACTCCTTGCTCATGGTAAACCAAATCAATGGAGAGTATGCAGCAAAGGACGCCAGAATGATAGCTTATCTGGAAGTCGCAAAGAAGCTCATTAAAGAGTTCAAGGAATTCAAAATAGAGCAAGTACCCAGAAACTTGAACACTGAAGCAGACGCCCTGGCAAAGTTGGGATCAAACATCAACCTAGAGGAATTTGGAACTATCCCTCTAGTGCACGTACTCTTTCCAGCCATAGAGAAAGAATCAACAATGAGCGTTTACGAAGTTCAAACAAACCTTACAGAAGAGAAAGACAACAGGTGGACAACACCATTGAAAGAATACCTCTTGGGCAAGACAAAACCAACAGGGAAAGTAGCAGCTCAAGCGTTCCAAGTACTGTCTGATCAGCAATGTACTCTTCAAGAAATCTGCAGCAGGACCTTTCTTACGATGCCTAGAAGAAAAAGAAGCTCAGCAAGTCCTACAATCCTTACACAGCGGAGAATGTGGAAACCATTCCGGAGGAAGGAACCTAGCCAACAGAGCACTCAGAATGGGATACTACTGGCCCAACATGAGAAAGGACGCAGCAGAGTTCACCAAGAAATGCCTAGCACGCCAAAAGCACGCACCCTTGACACACAAGGCATCAGAAGAGTTACATCCAACATTGACGCCTTGGCCATTTATGAAGTGGGGAATGGATATAGTAAATCTACCTCCATCATCAGGACAGAGAATATACTTCTTAGTAATGACAGAGTACTTTTCGAAATGGATCGAAGCAGAAGCATACAAGGAAATCAAGGATAAACATGTCATCTCGTTTATAAAAAGAAACATTCTAAGTAGATTCGGAGTACCAGCAGAGATCATTACAGACAATGGATCCCAATTCATCAGCAATAAGACCACCAAATTCTATAAAGAATAGAACATCTCCCTCATCACATCTACACCTAGGTACCCACAAGCAAATGGACAGGAAGAATCAAGCAACAAAGTCCTTATAGGCAACATGAAGAAAAGGCTAGAAGGAGCCAAAGGGAAATGGGCAGACGAACTACCCAACATACTGTGGGCAGACAGAACAACTCCAAAAGGCGCTACAAGCCACACTCCATTCTCATTGGTGTACGGATGTGAAGCAGTGATGCCAACAGAGGTAGAAGTCCCCACAGCAAGGTATGGGTTGATGACAGAAGAAAGGAACCAAGCAGAATTAATCCACAACCTAGATACAGTAGAAGAACTTAGAGAAGATGCACAAATAAGGATGGCAGCATACCAGTAAGAAGTGGCAAGATCTTTTAATAAGAATGTCAGAACAAAAGTCTTCAAACTAGGAGATTGGGTTCTCAGAAAGGTATACGAAAACACCAAGGAAGTAAACGCAGGGAAGCTAGCACCCAACTGGGAAGGACCCTACGAGATCATCAAGGTAGTAGGTAATGGAGCTTACAGACTCAGAAATGCAGAAGGAAAAGAAGTACAGCGAAGCTGGAATGCAACACACTTAAATCTATATCATTTCTGAAGAAGTGAAGGCATGTAGTTATCCTTTCAATTTTGTCTTTTTTACCAAAAACAGAAAAAAAAAAGAAGAAAAACACAAAAATCTCCAACAGCCAAAATCAGCACGAAAGGTACTCCTCTTTACTCACACTTTGTCAATTCAATTTATGATCATTACGAGTACTGACTTTGGCATCGGAGGGTCGTTGGGGAAACCCACGGCCACCCCTCACCTTATTCTGTTTTGCAAGGAACATTACCTACACTACTAGGCAAAAGCACAACAGACCATCACAGAGCAAAGGTTAACCATCCCTGCAACTGCAAGGGACAAACCAACTATCCTCGCAGAGCAAGCAAACACATGTAAGCAACACTAAATTCATATTACAACTGTAATACAACTGCAATACGACTGCAATACGATTATAAGACAACAATGATACAATAAGAAACATAAATACAAATCAACATAGCAAAAAGGAGACAGGAATACTTAGTTGCAGAGCAACAAAACAAACAAATTATCCAGCTACAGAAATGTAGCACAAAGACAAAACAAATTATCCAACTGCACTAAGGCAGTAAAAACAAACATCCTCCAAATCTAACAAATTTTTAAAGGTGACACAGCACCATTGAAGCTAATTCACATCCATGTTGTCAACAGGGACCATTTCCTCGGCAGCAGGCTTCGTACTCTCTGGGACATCCTTGACCTTGGTGTTGTGAGGAGAATTCACTTCCTCATCAGCATAGCTCAGCAACAATGTGCCAGGAGCAGCAGTCCCTGCAGGAAATGCAACCTCAAAAGCAGCCTTGTCAGCATCATAATCCCAGGCCTCATGTTTTCCCTGCTGAAATTCCTCCATCATTTCAAGACGAGCTTTCCCAAATTAGTACGCTGCAGCATCAACAGCCTCGTTCCCAGCCTCCTTCAAGGTCCTCTTCAGCCCATCACGTTCAGCAATGCATTCCCTGTGCCTAGCTCGTTCAGCCTTCAGAGCCTCGGTAGCAGCCTTGTACTTATCAGAAAGAGAATCATGTTCCTTCTTCATAGCCTCATACACTCGAGTAAACTCAGACACTTTGCCCAGCACGCCCAAGCAAGACTGCAGGCTCTGCAGAACACGGAATCAAGTAAGGAATGCACAATCCGGTTTTAACCATGTTTATTAAATTTTTTTTTTTCGGAGTATACCATACCTGGAAAGACTGCACAGCAGCCTCTTGAGAAAGGTCAGTGAAAGTCTGCGAGGACTGACGATCCTTGAAGGACGGAAACAGTAAGGTGTCCACATGCGGAGCCAAAGAATCAAAAGAGAAATCAGCAGCATCAACATCAATAGGTACCCCCAGCTTCCTCTTAAGGCCAATACGAGGTGGAGGCGGAGGAACACCACTCTTTGGAGCCACCGTGTTAAGAGGAACGACTTCAGTGGTTTGAGAAGAAGAGCGATGCTTAAGGCGTCCCAAAAGGGAAGATGAGCTAAGAAGGTCATGAGACCTTAGTGACCTCGAAGTATCTGCAAAGAACATGGCAGAATTCAAAAGGGAATACAACAATGAACACGACAAATATACTCAGCAAAATACATAACCGCCTCAAAAAGGATAAACAAATTAAGAGCTAAGTAAATCTTCAACAAAAGCAAAACAAATTCACAACAGGACGCATCCACAAGGAAGAACACAACAGAAACCACAAACAGAAAAGGAAAAAAGAAGAACACACCTTGAGACATAGTTGGGGCAACTTTCTGCTCAGAATCAGAATCGTCCAAAGACTTGATCTGGATAACCGCCTCTGATTACGTCAACTTGATGAAAGATCTCTCGTCTACACTCAACTCGTACAACTTGTCTACCAAGGACGGAGATTGAGAACGCTGCTTCAATTTACTCACTGCAACCATCAAGCAAATAAGCCCAAATCAACAAAGAAGGAGAGCTAAACATAGGAGAATAAGAAAACAAAATACCTTCAGCCTCAACAGTGTCAATAAAAAAACCACAATCATCACCCAACGAGTCAATCCTCACAAAGAAGAACTTGTGATACAACTTCTTATCAAACGCCTTCTCCAAGTCAGTCACCAAAGGACCAACACCATCCTTCAAACGAAGACCAACCCGACCCTTACCACTGGTTCTAATAGTGTAAGGATAACACAAGTCCCTTACATCAAGCTCTATACCCAATTTTGCACTTAGCAAATCCAAAATTCGCAAAACCCTCCAAGTTTGGGGCAATAACTGACAAGGTGAAACCCTAACCCTAGAAAGATATTGACGAACAAGAGCAGAAAAAGGGAAAGTATGCCCAATTACAAAGGGATACTCGAAGAAACACATCCAACCAGGGGCAGTCCAATCAGCCCTCTCCCTAGAAGATGGGATTTTCACCATAATCCCATCAGGGAATCGCGCAATAGCAGCGATGTTCAGAACTTCCTCTTTCATGATGGTAGAAGGATAGACATCCTTAGCAGGGAAGACGTTCTGCGCCATTAAGTTAGGCTTTTTCACACCCTCATCCACCCCAACAAACACCACTTTCACATGACTACCCATCGCAAAACAAAAAGAAAAACAACGGAGTAAAGAAATAGAGAAAGAAGAGAAAATACCTGGTGAAAACCGAAATTGGGGCAAAGCAATGAAGTGATTAGACAAGAGCCTGCACACCCAATAAATACCAAAAAAAAAAGAAATAAACCGCCACGAACGGTTATCGAGGAAGTTGCCTTAAAAATGCCATCACGTTTCCTATTTTGCTAACCGTTGAAGTAATTTCTGAAAAATTCAAAATCCTCCCAAAGGCTTTTTAAGTAATTTTCACTTCCAAATACTTGAAAATAAAAATTAGGGGCAATTGTTGGGCCCGTATTATCACACGACCCATTACATCTAGGGCATCAATCCAAGACCAATAAGTCAGCAAGAATATGCAAAACGGCTTGATTGAAGTAAACAAGGAAAGTAGCATCATGCATATCAATTAAGGAGATACTTGCCAAAGATACACCTACAGAACAGGGAAGAAGATAAATCAAGAAGATCTTCCCCATTTCAAATATATTCTGAAGATATTTGTAAACCCTAGAGATCCCTAGGTATAAATAAGCATAATTAGACAATTTTAGCATTCATGTACACACGCATACACTTAAATATAACAGAATTACTCTACTTTTATCTACGGAACTACGTCTTTACTGAACAAGGAGGTCTGTCCTTACTCAGTATTGTATCTCTAAACTCATCTTCTTTATATAATCGAATATTTACTGCCTACTTATTGATTACTTGTTGATTCATTTTTGTTCTTAGTTATTTATATGCTTTTGGTAGTATGATTGTTATTACCCCTCAAACCTAGCAGATTCTCGTATGTCATTGAGATTTGCCTAAACAATAATAATATAGGCTAAATTATATATCTCGGTGTGTATGGAAACCTTTCTAAAAATACATTCACTCTAGCTATGGTGCAATTGGTACACAGAGTCCTCCCAATGTTTAAAACAATACACTTAATTAATTTTTGCGTATATGAGTATAGCACTGTAAGTAAAAAAAATTTGATTATATGGTAGCCTTTCCACATTTGAGAGCATTTGGAGGGATGTCATATTCGGTAGTGAGGCTTGTTTCGTCATTCCAAACCCTCAAATAAACTTGTTGTCCTAAGTACTGTCGATGCCAAATCGCTGATCTCAAATTCCACATTCCCTTGTTATCTAGAGATGCTAATACTGCTGTCCATGAGTTTCTAAACACCTGCCAATTTGTAAAGAAAAGAGGCACAACATCAATTAAATTAGAATTACAAGTATAATAATTTTTACTTAGTATATTCGATACAATATGTATGTATGTACAAGTGTATGTTCAAAGATTACCTGGACAGTACTTCTTGAAATAGCATCCACCAAATTGTAATTTTTCCTACTTACTGGACTCCATTGGTTTGATCCGTATCTGAAACATGTACCTTCATTTCAGTATAGATTCTTTTGATGGCTAGAAGAGCTAGTAATGTTAGATAGAGAGATGAAGAAGCTAGCTTACGCGACAACAAAGAAATTGTAGCCATCAAGATGCCAAGACTGAGTGGTAGCCTCGTTATTTTGAAAGACTATTTCTACAAAATCATGAAGAGCCAAGCCATATACTGTGGTGCCTTGGACCATAGGGCCGGGTGTGGGATTGTCCCTACTCGTGTTGATGTCGAAAACACCAGGAATGTTGTAATAGTCAGCAAGCTTGAGTGGTGTGGTTGGATTCACGTAGGAAACACCATTAACACCATAAAGCAACTTGTTGTTGACCTTTTCAGCTGAATTGGCCAAAACTAATGTCCTTGTTATGTTAATTTCCCCATAACGGAACGATCCTTGGGGGTTCGGCCTTGCAGCATTGGCAGTTAAATTCCTTCTGTTGAATTAGGAAAATAAAAATATCAATGTTAATATGACACGTAGAATGTTATGCTAAACTAGATAATTATGTTATCCATAATGCATACAACTTGGAAAAGTCAATATGTACGAGTATTACCTAAAAGATCTGGCTTGTTTCATGGACCCGTGAACCTCAAAAGCAGGGGGACTAGGTGCAGGACCAGAAACAGTAATATTTGAACCTTCATAATGAAGGGTTGCGGTGGTAGTGAGAGTCGGTCTAGTGAAACGACTCGATGCAACAATGTAATAGTCTTTGATTGCACCATTGAAGGTCACCAAGAAAGTTAAGGATTGGCCAGGGTGAACATCAAGTGACTCGTAAATTTCTTGGAGAACATGAGATCCCTCAACCTCGACAAGCTTCATTGTATGCCCTTGAATCCTGAAGTTGATTGAAGTCATGATCCCTACATTAGCCACCCGAAACAAGTAGGTTTTCCCAGCTTCACCCGTGTAGACTCTATCAGTACTAAAGTTTTGAAGACCGTTAATAAGTAGGCCATCGGGCATAGGCATGGCATCACCATTATCTAGCCTATTTTGAAGCACCTGTGTCATAGCGACTAGTCAAAGTTAGTATATGAATAGTGGGATCAGACATTGTGGACATTAATAATTAATGGTTGAAGTTTACAAACCTTGTGGTCAGTCTTGTACCAGTCTCCAACAAGGAAAGAGTGTTCACCATCTGGCTGAGGGTAAGGAAGAGGAATGACAGATCTTTTGTAAACATTGATGGCACCGAATCCACCCGAAGCGCGATGCATCAATGTGGAAGGGAAGTACATGTAGGTACCAATTTGATCCTTGACTTGCATCGTATATGTGTAGTTTTGCCCTGGAGGAATAGGGCAGTTTGTTCCAAGTACTCCATCTTGCCATGAATTTTTTCTTTGCCAAATTCCATTCCTAAAGGTTAAACACAACTTATAATAAATAAGTTTTCACTCAGAATAAACAAAAGTGTACAACTTTCTAGTTGAATTCGGCAATGATGTCCAATTACTTGTGGTAAGGGTATGTAGAATGAGTTTAGAACCAATCAAAATAACATACAATACCTTCGTTTCATATTGATGGTGAAATAATGTAATCATGCGAGGTTTTGCTGTGTTTTTACAAGTATACATTTAGAGATAATAATGTTCAAACATTTACATTGACAAACATGAAAAAAGTAAAATGCTAATGTCGTTATAAAATGTAAGTAATGCAGTAATTTTACGTTTAAACAGGGGACAAAGCTTAAAATAAATTTAGGCGCATTAAAAAAATTAAAAGGAATAATTGAATTGAATAGTGAATACTGAGTAGTGGATATAGTGAATACTAACCATGTCATGAGGAATGGCTCGTCCAACTGATTAATAATAGTGACAATGAGATTGTCATTGGTGTTGACCTCAATTGTTGGACCCGGAAATTGGCCATTAACAACAATACCCTACAATTGAGTATGAATATATTACTTAATTGCAAAAGAAAATACATAAAAAACTTTGGAAATAAAATTAGTGGTGCAAAGTATTTAACAAACCGTTTGTGGAGGGAAATTCCCAGGATATATCGTTGCATATGTTACGGTCCAAGTGTAGTATTTATACGGACTTTCTGCATGAATTCCGAAAATACTTGACAAGGCTAAACTTCCAAGAACCAAAGATAGGACTGAAAAATGTCCCATTTTATGAGTTTTGATTGATTAATAAACCTGCTGAGGAAATATGCAGAAATTTATCAACTATTAGACTTTGTAGCAATGCCTCATAGAATACAGTAATACTTCGGTTTTCATTAACAAAATCATCAAAGCGGATCAAAGTTGAGAGTGAAGTCAGAAAGTATTTGAGAGTGAAGTTGTGTGTGATCTATCAAACTAATTATGATTTGGAACAAAAATAAAGGGACAAATTAAACCAAAAAAAAAAAAAAAGACACAATGGATGATATTAGAGGGACGGTGAGAGAGTACTACACAATACAACTATTGAACTAAATGAAGAGACGTCGTACTCATGTAGGAACCGCATGTCTAGTCTAAAAATAGGATATTTTAGGCAATTTAAAAGTGTGTGGATAGTGAGATATCATTAATAATAGCGAGTTTAATAATATTAGAAAACTACCCAAACTAAGATACTTTTCTAAATAACCAGCAAATACTTTAAAAAAAAAAAAAAAAGTGAAAGCAAATAAGCAATACCTTAAGGTAGGAGCATAGTAGTAGAGTAGAATGTCTCTTGTTTATAAAAGAAAGAAGAGATGTAAAACAAGGATATATGGGGATTGCAAATTAAGGGTGCAGTTTCCCGGAAGTTGTACAAATTTCAGTGAATTAAGTATAATGCCATACTTGAATTTAAAGGTGTCAAAGATCTATTGCGCCGTACTTCATGCTATTATAATAAAGTCAGCGTCACAACTCATATTTTAATACTACTTGTATATTCTTCAATTGGTTGGAGTTGTAGAGTTGTAGTATGAATTGCTTGTAAGTTGTAATAGTGTAACAATATTGCCAAATTTGCAATATTTTAACGTTGTTATCATGCTAGAAATTGAGTATGATGCTTCCTTGGTGCAAATTGTAGTAAGATAATAAGAGCGAGAGCGGCGGAGCTTAGAACGGATCTTTTAATAAAAATTGCCTTATTTTCAATATCAATGGAAGATCATTAATGTCTCACACATGGAAGTACACAACTTAAGAATGGAAGATCATTGGAGGTTTTCGTGGATCAAGTTACTATATTTTGTGTTCCCATGATCTCTATTTAAAAACAATATAATAATGCAGTTTTTCTTTAGAACAACAAATAGCGATGTAGGGAGTACATTTGAGGCGCGTGGTAGATTTTCGAAGAGATCTATCTACCAAATACCAACTTCTAAGCTTCCTACTAAGCTCAAGTTGAGACTTTTCATCCTTGAAACACAAGCGACTTTAAGTTGAAAAGAGTAGAATTTTAATGCCAGTCGTATGAATCGTATCTCTTATGCCTCATTAACAACATATCAATGGTACGACGGAGTTCTAAAAGGCATTGAAAAATTAAATTAGGATCATAGTCCTACAAGGCTACAGATACATTCCATAGAGATAGATTGCTTTTTCAGTAAATTACTTGTAAAAATTAGTAGGCGAAATTTTAGATACTCTGCACCCCATTTAGCCTGCTCGTATCTTGATGCATTGATTGGATCCAATGTCATTGAATATTGTTCTACATAAGTACATAAAATACCTCATTCAATAAAATTGCACTATTTAATGAACGAGGAATTACTAACGATTAATTAATCATGACCTTAATATGAATTTTGAAATGAAATACTACTCCGTACGTAGTATCTAGTTGAGCTGAGAATGGTGAGTTCTACTCACGTAATTCTCGTAACAAAAAAAAAGTGTGTAAGAGTACGATTGATGTTGGTCTGAGCAATAAATTGCTGCTAACTGCTGTTGTCTGTTGAGTGTTGAAAAAGGAGTACTAAACAACTTCAACAATGGTGAAGTAATTTCATTCTGATTAAAGAGATAAATTAATCAAACAAACACTGTAATTTCCAATACAAATCAATATACAGACGATTTCAGGGGGAAGAGGATGAAAAAATCAAAATATTTCCCGCTTCAACTTTCTAACTCACAGTCAAACTCTGATGACTGATTAAATCTATAGTAGTAGTATTATGATTAATGAACTAGACTGATCGATATGTGTTGTTTAAGGATGACGTCCAACTGCTTTTCCACAGAGGAGAACGTTAGTAGGGGGGTTGTACTCATTAGCAAGGCTCTGGGCAGAGTTCCACACCCGGAGATAGAGTTGCTGTCCAAGATATTGTCGCGACCACATTGCAGACCTCAGGTTCCACATCCCTTGGTTGTCTAATGATACCAATATTGCTGTCCAAGAGTTGGGATAGACCTGTAAAATTCATCCAAATACAGGCAAGTCGCAAAGATGATCAGAATCTAATTTTCCGAGGGGGAGAACAAACAACAGCAGAGTATATTTTACTAATTAATCAAATTTCCCAGGTCAGTATGCATGCAGTATGCTGTACCTGAGTGGTATGTCTGGTGAGGGCATCCTTTAGATTGTAATTCTTCCTACTGGCTTGACTCCATCTACCAGAACCAAAACTGCAACAATTTCGAGTCAAAAAATGAGAATGCCTGCTTAATAAACTCATAAAAATGGAAAATACGAGAAAATAACAATGTTATGAGACGTACCCAACTACCCAGAAATCATAACCATCAAGATGCCAAGACTGCATGGCATTCTCATCATTCTGGAAGACAACCTCAATGAAGTCGTGGTGAGTTGCACCCAAAACAGATGTGCCAAGCCTTGCAGCACCACCAGATGGGCTACTTTGGATGGAATTCAAGCTGAAAACTCCAGGAATATTGAAGTAATCGGCGAGCTTCAGAGGAGTATCAGGGTTGATAAAGGAAATCTGGTTAACAGCATAACGTTGCTTTCCGTTGATAAGAGGTGCTGAGTTGGCTAATACAAAGGTTTTTGAAATTGGGATTGTTCCATAGTGGAAAGATCCCTGAGGGTTGGGCCTAGCTGCATTTGCTGTCAAGTTCCACCTACACAATTAAGAAATTGAAAGTTAACCATATGTTACCAACAAAACATAGGCATGATCAGAAACACAGAATTTTTCGTGCTAAAGCATTCAAACTAGAAAATCCAAGGTCATCTAAACACTATGTTAGTATAAGGTGAAACGCTAACATCAACAAGGTTGCCATTGACATCAAAGATATTGAGGTTCAACATCGAGTTCAATTCCATACCTGAAGGTTCTGGCTTGCTGCAAGGACCAATGGAATCCTCCAGCAGGGGCAGCAGGCAGAGGTCCAGAGACTTGTGAGGCAGAGTTTGAGTAGTGGAGAGCTCCAGTGGCAGTTAGAACTGTCCTTGTGAAACGTGTTGATGCAACTATGTAATAATCCTTGGGAGCCTGATCTAAGGTCACAAGGATTGAGAGAGACTGACCGACGTGCACATCAATCGAATCGTAGACATTTTGAATAACATTAGATCCTTCCACTTCTACCACCTTTAATTTGTGACCTTGGATCCTGAAGTTGAATGATGTCAACAATCCAACGTTTGAGACTCGAAATTTGTATGTTTTTCCTGAAATTTGACAAGCAATTAATGTTCAGATATTGATGTTATTGCTTAAAACATAAAAAACAAGGCAATGATATGTCAAACTTAGGGGAGTTTCAATGATTCATGAAGGTAACCTTGTTCTCCGGTGAAGGTGCTCCGAGTCTGCTGGCCATTGATAAGCAAGCCATCAGGGAATGGAAGAACCTTTCCTGCATCCAGACTTTGCTGCAGGGTCTGCATAAAACATAATATTGTAATTAGAATTAGATTTCAGAAAGACTACTTGTAGCAATAAGTTCCAAGTTCAAAATATGGTATTAAAGATTATTCAAAAGATGATGAAAGTCTTAGAGGAGTATCAACGGTTGGTTTTCTCACATTTGTAACGAAAACAGTACTCTAATAAACATCAAAAACCAGCAACATATGAAAGCTTCATGAAGTCATGATCAGTAAATAGAAGTGAAATTTATACATTGAACTTAAGATTATACACTATAGGGGTAACATTATTTCTTGATACACAATAGAATACTGACCTTGTAGCTGGCTTTGAACCAATCACCAACAAGCAAAGTAAAGTCACCAGCAGGGTCGGCATAAGGAACAGGAATGCGAGGCCTAGAGTAGACATTAAGGGCACCAAACCCACCAGCAGCGCGGTGCAACCCAGTTGATGGGAAGTAAGTGTATGAACCAATCTGATCTTTAGGCTGAAAGATGTAAGTGAAGTTCTTGTTTGGGGGAATTGGACAGTTGGTCCCCAATACACCGTCTTGCCACGAGTTCTTCCTTTGCTTAATTCCATTCCTATAATTATTGAAAAAAGTTCATATTAGATCAGTCCTTCATCCATACTTGGAAGGCCAATGTTGGATATATGAGTTTAGATTAGTCCACAAATTTCCGTTCATATTTCATTATCAATGTGCTTAAGCAATCACATTTGCATAATAGTTTTAATCCATCTTAGCAAAACCATATTTGCATTTCATTTGGTTCTTTTTTAATAACAAAAACACCAGTATTTCTATGTAACACTGTTTAAAAAAGGATTACATACTCTACATCTCTAATTAAAAATCACGGTTTTCTTGCACTTTGGAGTTTAATTTACACTTTTCAAGTAATAGTAATTAGCACATTGGTAAAGTATCAAATTGAACTAATGTAAAATCGGTCATACATTACCTGATTTTGCAAAAGATTATATGGAGTAAAAGATAATCAACAGCAAAAAGCAGTCATATAAAAAATTAGTCAATTAATAAAAGTCAAATTAAGCGGTATAAATAACTTTTGTCGGTAAAAATGATATCAGTTTAATAAATATTTGTTGACAGGGTGTGGGACCTTAGAATTAGCAGTCAATTGTTACGTTCTTCTTCCTTTATTTTTAATTGTAATGTATTTATATACTTTGAAGCAACATTTCAAGGATTATAAGATCTATTAGGTACCATATAAATCCGTAATTAACAGACAAAATGCATCAATAATGTAACATCAATTTAAAAAATAAATCAAGAAAATGCCTCATTTACACTAATATACTTGAAAATTGAATTGAGTACGGAGTAATTAGTTCTTCAAAATACTGAACCAATAAAAAGTATAGGAGGAAAGAAAGGAAACATACCAAGTGAGAAGGAAAGGCTCATTCAATTTATTAATAACATTGAGGACAATGTTGTCATTTGTCACACAATCAAGTTTTGGTCCAGGAAATTGACCATTGATGAGAATAACCTTGCCAAAATAAATGTAAATTAGATCTTAATTGTTAAAGGTTTTAATCAAAAATGAAGTATTCTATTACAAAAGAAATAAAAAAAAACCTACCTGTTGAGGAACACCCAAAGGAGCAATGTTTCCATAAGTTACAGACCAAGTGAAAAATTTATAAGGGTCATCTGCTTTTGCAATGGAAATACTCAATAATGCAACTATTCCAAATAATGTTATGTTTATCAAACTTCTCCTCTCCATTATCTTCTATTCCTGTAAATATATACCACACAAAAACACATTAGAGTTACATAAGAAAAATGAGTGCCACTATAAACAACCCCGGCATGACACGGGTTAGATGTACGCAACCTTATCCTTAACAACTAGTCCACTAGACTAAGGAGTGGTGGAATATAGAGGAAGGTGCAATGGTGCATACCTTAAGGAGTGAAGGGAGGCAAAGATTTGGTTGGAGATCTTGCAGGAGGACTGTCAATGAAAGAGAGGGTGATGAAAGCAGAGGATATATATAAATAAAGAAAATGAGGCAGGAAAATGTGTAATTTATTAACTCCTGGAAAAGGCAGTTTTCCTGATATCAATAATTTCAAAATTTCTTGGTTTTTTCTACTTTTGTGTGTACTACTTCTCCTTAAGAGCTGGCATTCGGTGCTTCTTTTACGCGGTTTCGCTTTCGCGTGAAGCTCATAATACCTTTATCCATAATTTCTATGGACCTAATTTCCAATTTATACTTGATTTTGATTTTCATTATATGATTAATGTACAGTTATTTGATTAATGTACATATTGTACAAATTTGTGATTACAATGAGTTGGTTGAAATGGCTAATTTAAATTTTAAATGGACTAGTGTATTTAAAAATACTAAGGGCTTGTTCATATTTACTGAGCTGAGCTGAGCTGAACTGAACTGAACTGAACTTATTGGAGCTGAACTGAACTGAACTGAAAATAAGTAAATATGAACAGGCCCTAAGTCTAATGTAATTTTGTCTAATTTTTTTGTCAAACTAATATCATTACAGATTTTGCTTCACATCCACACTGTGAAGTACAACATAAATTAATTTTAAGACCTTGTTGTGTGCAAAGGTCAGTGTAGTGATAATAACTAAGGGCATGTTTTCATTGACTGAACTCAGCTGAACTGAACTGAACTGAGCTTAACTAAATTGAACTGAAATGAATATTTTATAAGAGAAGGAAATTAGGAGCTGAACTGAACTAAACTGAGCTGAACTGAACTGAACTGAACTGAATTTCAACGTAAGAGAACAGACCCTAACTTGATCAAATGTAAAGATGAATCCAACTTGATTAAATAACTAAACAAGACGTATTTTTTCTTGAATATTAATCATAAAAAGTAGTCAAAACATAATACATGAGTAATGTAAAAGTCGTGATAAGAGTGTAATTAATCGTAAACATGGAAAAAATATCATCAATCAAATTTAAATATGTTTTAGTTGAGAGAAATAAGGGAACTTCTACTTCACCTTTTCTTAAATTTAAATTCAATTGAAATAACATACATATTTAATCGGTGTCTAACAATTTCTTTAATGAGCAATGGATAGTCGGTGCAAGCAATATTTAGTGCTTAAAAAATGGATTACATTGACACTCACCAACCCCTTCGAGTTAAATATATGGGAACAAAGATACTACTGTACATTAGTATTAACATATTAGTATTACAGGATTCCTTTAATCTCGGCTGGACTAAAGTCAATTTACTGATCGCTGTCCTCCATTGGACACAGGGGCGGACCCACCTTTAGTCATAGTGGGTCCGGTGACACAGTATTTTTTAAAAAAAAATAAAATATCAAAGAGACCCCTTATTATAGATAGGGGGTCTCGTTGATGCTGCTAGTGGTAACAACAAACAATATCAAAGAGACCCCTTATTATAGATAGGTGGTTTGTTTGATGCTGCTAGTGGTAACAACAAACAATGTCAAAGAGACCCCTTATTAAGATAGAAGATCTCTTTGATGCTGCTATTGCTACAAAAGACTTTGTGTGTTTTTTTTATATATTAAAGAGATCTGTTATTTATATAAAAGGTCTCTTTGATGCTGCTATTGCATTTCACAATTTTTTGCGTTACTTTCTTTTTCATTAAAGAGACCAGTTATATTTAATAACTGGTCTTTTAAGTTATCTCACTTTTTTTTGTATAATTTTTTAATAATTTTTTCCCCCTTTTTATATCTTATATTTGTACAACCAATTTTAATATTTCCCCATAAAGCTTATCAATTAACTAAAAAATCATAAAGTTAATTCAATATAATAATTTTATTGTACCATTGGTTTATAACATGTTATTTGTAGTATTTTCGACTTGTAAAATTGAATTCTTAAGTACTGTATTTGGTTGTGATATGAATTTTTGTGTCCTATTTTTGGATTGAAATCAATTTGGTATATGTATATATACATATATATGTATGTATATATACACATATATATATATATATATTTTATATATATAAGTTTTGGATTGAAATTAATTATGAACAAGACATGGAAAAAAAAATTGTACTTTCACAAATGATCAATAATTGATGGTGACACACTATCTCGGAAATCCTGGATCCGCCACTGATTGGACACAAGTACACACTACCCTTTTTTTAGCTCTATTTTTTATTTTCAATTGTCAATTAAGTATTCTTTTTTAAAAGGCAAGTGCATAACACTAATTTACAAATGCATATCGCAGAAGTATCATTGTCTATGAAATTTATAGTTTGTAGTTTATAGTTTCTATAGGAGTACAGGTTGTTACTAATGGATATTTAAAGGTGAAAAAAATAGAACACTATTGACATATGGATTTTTCATGGGGAAGTATCTTATTAATACTCGTACTTCCTTGGCTTTATTTCAGTTTAGTTGACGTATTTTGATTATGACAAATTTTGTTAATTAGAAAGGATATAAAGGTAAATAAACTGTAAATTATTTTAGTATAGAAATTGACAATTATATAAAATATTACATACGTGACAATGTCAATTTTTTAATCATTCAAATAGTTTTGAGCTCCCCAGTTTTAAACATGATGGCTTACAAGGCCGAAACCTCCAAAATATCTCAAAAAGCGTGAATATTAGCCTTTAATTTTGGAATTTCTTGACTTTTTTTCTCCCGGAAATAAAAGTTGTCGAAATGTTTACCATGATCCCTAATACTCTCCGGGAATCCAATTGGCAGGGTGGAAACATCCAATTTGCCTTTAAACGACCAATTTACTGGTTTACAACTTACATCGATTTCATTAACTCAAGCTTACCACAAACATTTATGACAACATATAATGATCATATATGGATCCAAACGGCATTATATGACTCCGAGATGTATCCCCTAAAATCTCAATGCTTTTCGACATCAAGCCCCGAAACATTCGAAATTTCTCAAAAAGCGTGGAAATTAGCCTTAAATTTGGAATTTATTGACTTTTTTTCGCCCGCATATAAAAATTGCCTAAATGTTTACCATGGTCCCAAATAGCCTTCAGGAATCCAATTGGGTGGGTGGAACCATCCAATTTACCTTTAAAAGACCAATTTACCGATTTACAACTTGCACCGATTTCATTAACTCAAGCTTACCACGAACATTTATGACACCATATAATGATCATATATGGTTCCAAACGGCATTATATGACCCCGAGATGTATTCCCTAAAATCTCAAGGATTTTCGACACCGTGCCCAACCTAAAAAATTTCTCAAAAAGCATGATATAAGCCTTCAATTTTGAAATTTTTTGACTTTTTTTCGCCCATAAATAAAAATTGCCGAAATTTTTACCATGATCCCTAATACCCTCCGGGAGTCCAATTGTGTGGGTGGTACCATCCAATTTGTCTATAAACGGCCAATTTACCGGTTTATAACTTGCACCGATTTCATTAACTCAAGTTTACTACGATCATTTATGACAACATATAATGATCATATACGGTTCCAAACAGCATTACATGACCCCAGGATGTATCTCCTTATTCTTAAGGCTTTTCGACACCGGGCCACGAAACCTCAAAAATTACTCAAAAAGCGTGGATATTAGACTTCAATTTTGGAATTTTTTGACTTATTTTCAGCTAAAAATAAAAAATTTCCGAAATGTTTACCATGGTCCCTAATACCCTCCGGGCAACCAATTGGATGGGTGGAACTATTCAATTTGCCTTTAAACGGTCAATTTACCGTCTTACAACTTGCACTGATTTTGTTAACTCAAGCCTACCAAGAACATTATGACAACATATAATGATCCTATATGGTTCCAAACGACATTATATGACCCTGAGATATATATTCCCTAAAATCTCAAGGTTTTTCAACATCGTACCCAATTTAAAAAATTTCTCAAAAAACGTGGATATAAACCTTCAATTTTTGAAATTTTTGACTTTTTTTCGCCCGAAAATAAAAATTGCCGAAATTTTTACCATGTTCTCTAATACCCTCCAAAAGTCCAATTGTGTGGGTTTATCCATCCCATTTGCCTTTAAACGGCCAATTTACCGATTTACAATTTGCACCGATTTCATTAAATCAAGCCTACCACGAACATTTATGACAACATATAATAATCATAAATGGTTCCAAAAGGCATTATATGACCCTGAGATGTATCCCCTAAAATCTCAATGCTTTTCGACACCGGCCACGAAATCTTCAAAATTTCTCAAAAAAATTATGGATCTTAGCCTTCAATTTTGAAATTTTTTACTTTTTTTTGCTTGAAAATAAAAATTGCCGAAGTGTTTAACATGTTCTCTTATATCCTCCGGGAGTCCAATTGGGTGGGTGGAACCATCCAATTTGCCTTTAAACGACCAATTTACCGCTTTACAACCTGCACCGATCTCATTAACTTAAGCCTCCACGAACATTTACGACAACAAATAGTGATCATGTATAGTTCCAAACGACATTATATGACCCCGAAATATATTCCCTATAATTTCAAGGCATTTCGATACCGGGCCCCGAAACCTCCAAAATTTCTAAAAATACGTGGATATTAGCCTTTAATTTTGGAATTTTTACACTTTTTTTCGCCCGAAAATAATAATTGCCAAAATGTTTACCATGATCCCTAATACCCTTAGGGAGTTCAATTGGGTGGGTGAAACCATCCAATTTTCCTTTTAAACGGCCTATTTAATTACCGGTTTATAACATGCACCGATTTCATTAACTCAAACCTAACTAGAATATCTATGACAACAAAAAATTAACATATATGGTTCCAAACGTCATTAAATGACCCCGATATGTATCCCCTAGAATTTCAAGACTTTTCAACACCTAGCCCCGAATCCTCCAACATTTCTCAAAAAGCGTGGATATTAGATTTCAATTTTGAAATTTTTGACTTTTTTTCGCATGGAAATTAAAATTGTCGAAATGTTTACCATGGTCCCTAATACCGTCCGGGAGTCCCGTTGGGTGGGTGGAACCATCCAATTTGCCTTTAAACAACCAATTCACCAGTTTACAACTTGCACCGATTTCATTAACTCAAGTCTACCACAAACATTTATGACAACATATAATGATCATATATGGTTCCAAACGACATTATATGACCATGAGATGTATCCCCTAAAATTTCAAGAATTTTTGACATTGGGCCCCGAAACCTCCAAAATTTCTCAAAAAGCGTGGAAATGGTCTTCCATTTTGGAATTTTTTGACTTTTTTCGCCCGGAAATAAAAATTTCAGAAATGTTTATTATGGTCCCAAATAGCCTCCGGGAGTCCAATTGGGTTAGAGGAACCATCTGATTTGCCTTTAACGACCAATTTAATTACCAGGTTACAACTTGCACGGATTTCATTAACTCAAGCCTACTACTAACATTTATGACAACATATAATGGTCATATATGGTTCCAAACGACATTTTATGACCTCGAGATGTATCCCTTAAATATTAATACTTTTCTACACCGGGCCCCGAAAATTTCTCAAAAAGCGTTCAATTTTGAGATTTTTTTATTTTTGTTTGCCCAGAAATAAAAATTGCAGAAATGTTTATTATGATCCCAAATAGCCTCCGGGAGTCCAATTGGATTGGTGGAACCATCCGATTTGCCTTTAACGGCCAATTAATTACCGGGTTACAACTTGCACGGATTTCATTAACTACTCAAGCCTACTACGAACATTTATGACAACATATAATGATCATATATGGTTCCAAACGACATTTTATGACCCCGAGATGTATCCCCTTAAATTTTAATACTTTTCTACACTGGGCCCCGAATTGAAACCTCTAAGATTTCTCAAAAAGCGTGAATATTAGCCTTCAATTTTGAGATTTTTTGATTTTTTTTTGCCCGAAAATAAAAATTGCTGAAATGTTTACCATGATCCCTAATACCCTCCGGGAGAACAATTGGGTGGGTGAAACCATCCAATTTGCCTTTAAACGACCAATTTACCGATTTACAACTTGCAACGATTTCATTAATTCAAGCCTACCACGAACATTTATGACAACAAATAATGATCATATATGGTTCCAAACGGTATTATATACCCCGAGATATATCCCATAGAATTTCAAGACTTTTCGACACCGGGACCCGAAACCTCCAAATTTTCTCAAAAAGGCGTGGATATTAGCCTTTAGTTTTGGAATTTTTTACTTTTTTTCCGCTTGAAAATAAAAATTGCCGAAATGTTTACCATGGTCTCTAATACCCCCTGAGAGTTCAATTGGGTGTGTGGAACCATTCAATTTGCTTTTAAACGACCGATTTACCAGTTTACAACTTGCACTGATTTACCGGTTTACAACGACCAATTTAATTAACTTGAACCGAAATTGACCCAAACCCATTTTAACCCGTCAAAACCCGAATTTAACCCGACTTGTTACTAACATGACCTGAATTTAACCCGACCCGTTCCTAACCAGACCCGAATTTAACCCAACCTTTTACAAACCCGACCTGAAATCAACCCGACTTGTTATTGATTTGACCCAAATTCAACCCAACTTGTTATTGACCCGACTCGAATTTTACCATACCTATTACTTACCTAGCCCAAAAATTCAACCCGACCTGATTCTAACCTGAAAATTATTAACTTAAACCGAACCCGACTCGAACTTGAGAATTACCCTAACCCGTTTTAACCTGAATTAAACCCGACCTATTGTTCATCCGACCCAAATGTAACCTGTTATTAACCCGACCTAAACTCGACCCAAACTTGATAAGAAGTATGACCCGACGTGACCCGATTCAAGCATGATCCTACATTACCCAAACCCGAACCGCATATGTTATAATATTAATCTGAATTGACCCAACCCGAGTCGAGTTGGCCCGACTCAAACCCGACTCGTTTACCCGAATTGAAATAGTCTGTGAAAGTGCCAAGATTCAAAATGTATTTATTCATTAAAATTGAGTGAGTATAATAGAAAAAATTTCTTAAATACATTAAAATAGATTTTGAATACTGTTGATTTCCAATTCAACGATTAACTATGTATGACCATGTTCTTACTCTATTTAATTTCATCTAAATAAAGCCTTTTGAATTTCATATCGATTCCGTCTCATCTTTCCTTTATTTGCAATCTATATGTAAGAAAACAAAGAAGAAAAAAAACGTGAAAATTTGTTAAAGTATTGACTTAAAATGTAGCTTCCTAATATTCTGATATCAATTAATTGTCGATTTTAATAAATATATAATAACATATAGTTTAGAGTTTTACATTGACATTATAACAAGGTAAAATTAACATATACTCCAATTAACAAATATATAACCAATTAACCATCATATCAAGACGGAAAGATAGAGTAAGAAATAACTCTTCGTTCACATTGGGTAAAACTAATGAAAAACTTTTGACTTTTAAGAATAGGTCCATAATGAGAGGATGCCTTGAAAAGTTGTGAAATTCTGCATGCACATCAATTAATACTAAAAAGGGGTCAATTTCTCCACAATTAGTGGCTTAAAATTAAGAAGTTACTAGAGAAAGAATAAAGATAGATAAGGCTACAATTGGTAAGGTGGGACTACGAGAGGGTTTGCATGCAGTGTAAGCAATGGCATGTACAAAAAAAAAAATCAACTTTAATTTATGTTGTTAATTAAGACTACCAATCGAGATTATGGCAAATGATTAACCAATATTTTAAAATGTTACAGTGTAGTTATTTCGGTAATGATGGAGGCTAACATGGGTTGTCTTTGGGATCTTCTGAAGTTTGTAGGGTCCACACGTTTTTATGAGCCACTAGTCCACTTACTACCAAATTGAATGACCACCGTTAGTTGTTTATATTCAAGGCATCAATTAAGGGAAAGGTCACCTACATGACCTAATGGCATCACCATGCATAGTCTTCAATTTGCACTTTACTTTACTCTTAATGCTCATGCATGTAACATGTTGCAATTTCTTACAAGTTCAGGACTTGCACCTATATACAGGCCATGAAAATGTATGTTAACGGTTTTACAGAAACTAAAGTAAAAACGGACTTATTTTGGCGAGGTATTTGTTAATATGTACAATTTAAAGTTTGTGATATTCGAGTTTAAGATTATCGAGTACAAAATACAAATAATTATACAGCAAATTGATTTTGCTTACAAGTCAAATGTACAGTGATTTTTTATTTTTGGCCTTTGAAACTAAAACGATGGTGAGAGATGCATTCCAATTTTATACAAATAATAGGTTGTTCGGATTTCGGAACCATTAGTCGCTTGTAATAACCTTGAGTCAATGATGAGATTGTGATTTGTAACTGGCTGAATTGATAGTTAAGATACAAATTTGGGGGGAGGGGGGTGGTAAAACTTTCTTCGTGTTATGATTTTGGTCTTCCCGTACCTTATGGGGAGACATGAGGCATTATACATGATTATCCTTCTATATACTAATAGCGAGCAATTTAATTGTCTCTGTCAATAATTTAATTGTCAAGTTTCAAAAAGTAAAAATATTAATATAAATCTTTTTTTTTAATCAAATATAGTTTTTGCAAGAATAACGTAGGGAATGGGTCTTGTGATTATATTAAATAGAATATGCTATAAAGATATAAACAAAAAAGTTGAGAGATCAAAGCACAAGAAGTCAAGAATACTGAATACATAGTTTGTTCCTATGGTTGATGACAACGTATTTTCAAAATAATATTGCATAAAACGAAAATTAGTATAGTATTAAAAAAAAATAGAGTAAAAAGTTTAATAAAAAATTAAGTGTGTTTGAATAACATTTTAGTAAAGTAGAATTCTAATTTCTTGATTAAAAAAAATATATATTAGCTGCTGTTTTTTGCAAGTTTGTAAGCAATTTATATCTATATATTTTGAGGTAAATTAACAAACCTGAGGATCCGTGGCGCAATGGTAGCGCGTCTGACTCCAGATCAGAAGGTTGCGTGTTCGATTCACGTCGGGTTCAATATCCCGAACTTAGATCCTCCTTTTTTTTTTTGGGAATGCGTTAAACTATTTTTTCCATTTCTGCTTATTGTTTAGATATAAATCATATAATGGCTCATGCTTATTGTTTAGATATAATGGCTTATGCTTATCAGATACATAGATGTTACAAGTTTATATCTACAACTCCCATGAATTGTGAGCACTACTTGAGCTCGATTCGTTGGTTACTCGGTGTTCGAGCTGGAGCTTTTGTTTCATCTTCTACTCATACTCTAGTACATGAAATCACTAATTTTCCCCATGTTACAAGTTTATATCTACAACTCCCATGAATTGTGAGCACTACTTGAGCTTGATTCATTGGTTACTCGGTGTTCGAGCTGGAGCTTTTGTTTCATCTTCTACTCATACTCTAATATATACTCATACTCTAGTACATGAAATCACTAATTTTCCCCGCATAATATAGATAAGAAAAATCGAGATCATCGTAGAACGCAGCTGTGTAAAGCTAACAATAATATTTTGCAGTGCTGGATTAGCTAAACAATGTGCAAGTATAACTCTTCTCACAGACACATTTGACAGTCAAACTATGTCTAGAAGGGACCTTGAACTTAAATAACCCAATTTAATCCAAATACTCAAAACCTGAAATCAGGCTGAAATTAAACCAGGATTTCCTCAATCTGCCATATCTAATTACAGAAGCCAAAGAAGAACAAATATATGCATGAAGCACGTACAGAAGGCAGAAATTTAGCTTGCATAAACGAAACAATATCCTGGATTTCTTTAATTGATAATAGCAGTCCACTATCATGAAAACAAGCCGCTTCATCAATGATGATAATGAAAAGTAGCCAGTGCATTCCAGTGCTCAGCAGGCAGCTTAACTACCTGAAATTAGGACATACAAATTACAATGTCAAACTAAACATACTTTTCCCAAATGAAATGCGGAGGATTCTACTGCCACCACAAAAGAACATCCACGATTCTGGACATCCAATAGATGAAAAGAGAAAAGGACGAATATTCTTTAGAGGGCAAAGAGCGAAAACTTATCAACTGGTCTAAGTGCCTAGGCACAAAAAAGTCATCTTTTTTCCAATTGCTTGAAGCTGTTCAGAGGCAAAGTTGTATATGTTTCGGGGACAGATATATTGGCATATTTTCGTGGATATGTGCATGACACTTAAAAATATTACATGCAAAACCATCATTGTCACTTTCCATCTATTTATACCAAACAAGCCCCTACAGTATTAGGAAAGCAGGGGGAGGGGGTGGAAAGTGATCATGACATTTCTTACCATTGATAATGTTACTCGTACATATATCAGATCCAAGGCCAAACACATGGTTCATCTTAGCACGTTTTGTTTCCAGATATCTCTCATTCTCCTTTGTGATAGCAGTGACAACTGGTATTCTCTCAATAACAGCGAGACCATAGTTACGGAGCTCAACACATTTCACAGGATTGTTTGTCAGTAGCCTCAATGATCGAACTCCAAGATGCCTCAGTATCTGCAAGCTTACCAAGGCATAATTAACGAACCAGAGTAAATAATTCAACTGAATTACATAAGTTTTGACTTTTCAAGTAGAATTGGTTACCTGAATTTCTTTTTATCTAAACTCAAAACAAATAAAAGCCAAGTACTGTAATATAATTAACCATTAACCCTGACGTTGATCTGGTTTTAGAATTCGACACACAATATTTGGGAGGAATTTGTTCATTTTTTCGCGCGGGCGAGGGGGGGGGGAGGTGGGGAAGACTGGGAACAGTCTTCATGTAAAGAGGAGAAGCAGGGAGAGAGCAAGAGCAATGTGCTGAAAAGAGTGTGAATATGAATGTTCGTTTATAATGGACATTCCATCTTCCATGATAGGCTTCTTAATACCTGTGCACTAATGTGATACTCGCGTGAGTCCACAGGTAAACCAAGCTCTATATTCGCATCAACAGTGTCCAGTCCAGCGTCCTGTAAAGTATAAGCACGAAGTTTGTTTCCCAAACCAATGCCCCTTCCTTCATGCCCACGATTGTAAACCAATACACCTCTGCCAGCTTCCTCAATCAGCCGCATTGCAAGTGCAAGTTGGTTCCCACAGTCGCATCTGGCTGAGCCAAATATGTCCCCTGTTAGACATTCAGAATGTACCCTCACAAGGACATCTTGGCCATCTCCTATTGCACCCTGTTTTGATCATAGTCTTTTATTAGTTATAATAAGGGTTACAGCAGAAAATATATCTAGCAATGATACATTAAAATTGCACACCTTGACCATTGCAATATGCTCAATGCCATCCATGATTGACAGGTAACAGTGAGCTGTAAATGTCCCCCATGTAGTAGGAATACTTGCACTAGCAGCATGATTAATCAATATATCATTTACCCTTCTGTGCCTGTGAGATCATCGAATGTATTCAGTCATCCACCTACTTTAAAGTACAGAGTACAGAAATCCAGAAACTCGTATATAACACCTCAAGTCTCAAGGACCAAGGATGGCTTGAATGAAATCTCCTTTTCATTCCTCTGGTAAGAACCTTGTGTCAAATTTTCATTAAACCATCCCTCTTTGCTATTAGGATTGGACCTAGTTAATAGACATGGTAACTCAATGGGCATAGGGTTCAAGTCAAGTTTAAAAGGGTCATATTTAGAGCTATCAATTCGGGTAAACGGGTCGGGTAAGAGTGGGTCGGTCAACTCGGGTCGGGTCAATACGAATTAATTCCATAACCTATGCAGGTAGGGTTTGGGTTGGGTCATGCTTGAAACGGGTCACGACGGGTCATACTTCTTATCAAGTTTGGGTCGGGTTTGGTTCGGGTTAATAACAGGTCGGGTGAACAATAGGTCGGGTTTAATTCGGGTTTTCACGGGTTAGGGTAATTCTCAGGTTCGGTTCAAGTCAATAATTTACGGGTTAGAATCAGGTCGGGTCATTCTCCGGTTCGGTTCAAGTCAATAATTTGCGGATTATAATCAGGCCATTTTCAAGTCGGGTCGTTCTCGGGTTCAAGTCGGGTTCGGTTCAAGTCAATAATTTGCGGGTTAGAATCAAGTTGGGTCATTTCCAAGTCGGGTCATTCTCGGATTCAAGTCGGGTTATGTTCAAGTCAATGATTTGCAGGTTATAACCAGGTTGGGTCATTTCCAAGTCACGTCATATTCGGGTTCAACTAACTATAAATAGATAATTATCATTTTTATCAAGCTAATTATTTCCTTTGACTATAATATATATGACAAATTAGTGATATACTAGGGAACTATAGTCTATAATTTAAGATGATAATTATCTCCTTTGACCATACAACAAATATATATTATATTTAACTCTTAAATTTGAGGATGATGCTCCTTTCTTTTGCTAGCCTGGACCGACTTGGACTCCCTAGACAAAATGCTTTGATCAACAATAATAAGGAGGTCTAAATTGCATTTAAGGTGATTTGAAATTGGGTCAGGAACAATTAAGGTTGAATTTAGGTCGGGTCAATAACAAGCCGTGTTAATTTCGAGTCGGGTTAGTAACAGATCGGGTTGAATTTTTGGGTCGGGTAAGTAATAGGTCTGGTAAAATTCGGGTCGGGTCAATAACAAGACGGGTTGAATTTGGGACAGGTCAATAACAAGTCGGGTTGATTTTGGGTCGGGTTTGTAACAGGTTAGGTTAAATTCAGGTCGGGTTAGGAACGGTTCGGGCTGAATTCATGTCAGGTTAGTAACAAGTCGGATTAAATTAGGGTTTTGAAGGGTTAAAACGAGTTAGGGTCAATTTCAGTTCAAGTCAAGTACGGTGCAAATTGATTAAATTGGCCTAGTAAACCGGTAAATCGGTGGAAGTTGTAAACCATTAAATTGGTTGTTTAACAGCAAATTGGATGGTTCCACTCACCCAATTGGACTCCTGTAGGGTATTAAAGACCATGATAAACATTTCGGCAATTTTTATTTTCGGGCAAAAAAAGTCAAAAAAAATTTAAAAATTGAAGGCTAATATCCACACTTTTTGAGAAATTTTAAAGGTTTCACGGCCCGATGTAGAAAAGTCTTGAAATTCTAGGGGATACATATCTAGGTCATATAATGTTGTTTGTAACCACATATGATCATTATTTGTTGTCATAAATATTCGTGGTAGGCTTGATTTAATGAAGGAAAATTTGCCAAGAATAATACGACCTTTCAGCGGTCTTCCAAGAATGGAATAACCTTTGAATTATTTCAAAATGGAACGACCTTTGATTTACATTTGCCGAAAATAGACCAAAAAACCTATAACTTGTTTCACGGGTTACTTTGGACACGTGTCACATTTGTGATTGGCTAAAACTTTACTTATTTTATTTTAACATTTTTCTTTTAATAATATGATATAAAAAATAAAACTTAAATTAAATTCTTTTTTAAAATTATAAAGAAAAAAAAATGGAAAAAAACAAATCCCTACCCCTTCCCGACAGCCACCCACCATCACCTGCTATCCCCATCCTTTAACCCGCCGGTTGCCAGAGCCTATGCCTGGTGTCGGTGGTACCCACCTGACCTAGACCCCGACTTCAACCACACATCCACTCCCCTTGAACATCCACCCGAAAATTTAACGAGCCTAAAACCACCACTCGAATTTAAGGTTTTCAAGTGGTGGTTCAGGGGAGGAATGGATTGGAGATGGGCGCCGGAGGGGCGTGATGGATTCGCCGGCAAAGGGGAAAGGGTTGGGGTGCTGGTCGGCCGCGCGGTGAGGAGAGGTGGGTTTTCAAGAGGAGGGAGGGGGTTATAAGGTGGAGGGAAGGTGGTTTATTAAGGGAAGGGAAGGGGCGTGTAGGCTCGAGATCTGGGTCAGGAGGGGTGCGCCGTCGCCGGGTAGAGGGATCAGGCCGCCGGGGGTGGAGAAGGGGAGAGCAGATGGTGGTCGAGTGGCTGCTGCGTGGCTGCAAGAGGGAGGTTTTTTTTTTTTAATTTCAGTTTTCTGATTTAGTTTTTAAGTATTTTTTTATTTTAAATTTAAAAAAAAATTGTTAAACAAATTGACCAACGACACTGTGACACGTGTCACTGGTAACCTTCATGTCACGTTCTATTTATGGCAAATGTGTATCAAAGGTCGTTCCATTTTGAAATAATCCAAAGGTCGTTCTATTTATGGAAGACCGCTGAAAGGTCGTATTATTCTTGGCAAATTTTCCTTTAATGAAATCGGTACAAGTTGAAAACCAATAAATTGGCCGTTTAAAGGCAAATTGGATTGTTCAACCCACCCAATTGGACGCCCAAAGGGTATTAGGAAACATGGTAAAAATTTCGACAACTTTTATTTGCGGGCGAAAAAATGTTAAAAAATTCAGAAATTGAAGGCTTTTATCCACGCTTTTTGAGAAATTATAGAGGTTTCGGGTCACGGTGTCGAAAAGCCTTGACATTTTAGGGAATACATCTCTTGGTTATATAATGACGTTTGGAACCATATATGATCATTATATGTTGTCATAAATGTTCGTGGTAGTCATGAGTTAATGAAATTGGTGCAACTTGTAAATCGGTAAATTGGCAGTTTAAAGGCAAATTAGATTGTTCCACACACCCAATTAGACTCCCGGAGGGTATTAGTGATCATAGTAAAAAATTCGGAAATTTTTATTTCCGGGCGAAAAAAAGTAAAAAAAATTCCAAAATTGAAAGCTAATATCCATGCTTTTTGAGAAATTTTCGAGATTTTGAGGCCCGATGTCGAAAAGCTTCAAGATTTTAAGGGATACATCTCGGGGTCATATAATGCCATTTGGAATCATATATAATCATTATATGTTGTCAAAAATGTTCATGGTAGGCTTGATTTAATGAAATCGGTGCAAGTGTAAACCGGTAAATTGGTCGTTTAAAGGCAAATTGGATGGTTCCACCCACCCAATTAGACTCTCGGATGGTATTAGGAACCATGGTAAACATTTAGTCAGTTTTTATTTCCGGGCAAAAAAAAAGTAAAAAAATCCCAAAATTTATGTCTAATATCCACGCTTTTTGAGTAATTTTGAAGGTTTCGGGGCCCGTTGATGAAAAGAATCAAGATTTAAGGGGATACATCTCGTGGTCATAAAATGCCGTTTAGAACCATATGTAATCATTATATGTTGTCATGTTCGTGGTAAGCTTGAATTAATGAAATCGTTGCAAGTTGTAATTTGGTAAATTTACCGTTTAAAGGCAAATTGGATGATTCCACCCACCCAATTGGACTCCCTTAGGGTATTAGGGAGCATGGTAAACATTTCGGCAATTTTTATTTCTGGGTGAAAAAAAGTCGAAAATTTCCAAAATTGAAGGCTAATATCCACACTTTTTGAGAAATTTTGGAGGTTTCGGGGCCCGGTGTCAAAAATTCTTGAACTTCTAGGAGATATATCTCTGGGTCATATAATATCGTTTGGAATCATATATTATCATTATTTGTTGTCATATATGTTCGTGGTAGGCTTGATTTAATGAAATCGGTGCAAGTTGTAAATCGATAAATTGGTCGTTTGAAGACAAATTAGATGGTTCCACCCGCCCAATTGGACTCCCGGGGGATATTAGGGACCATGGTAATCATTTCAGCAATTATTATTTCTAGCGAAAAAAGGTCAAAAAATTCTAAAATTGAAATCCACGCTTTTTGAGAAATTTGGGATGTTTTGAGACCCGGTGTCGAAAAGTTTTGAGATATAATGGGATACCTGTCGGGGTCATATAATGCCGTTTGGAACCATATATGATCATTATATGTTGTCATAAATGTTCGTAGTAGGCTTGAGTTAATGAAATCGGTGCAGGTTGTAAACCGGTAAATTGGCCGTTTAAAGGCAAATTGGATGGTTCCACCCACCCAATAGGACTCCTGGAGGGTATTAGAGACCATGGTAAACATTCGGCAATTTTTGTTTTCGGGCAAAAAAAAGTCAAAAACACGCTTTTTGAGAATTTTTGGAGTCTTCGGGGTCCGGTGTCGAAAAGTTTTGAAATTCGTGGGAATACATCTCGGGGTCATATAATGTCGTTTGGAACCATATATGATCATTATTGTTGTCATAAATGTTCGTGGTAGGCTTGAGTTAATGAATCGTTTCAAGTTGTAATTCGGTAAATTTGTCGTTTAAAGGCAAATTGGATGATTCCACCCCCCAATTGGTCTCCCGTAGGATATTAGGGACCATGGTAAACATTTCGGCAATTTTTATTTTCGGGTGAAAAAAAGTCAAAAATTTCCAAAATTAAAGGCTAATATCCACACTTTTTGAGAAATTTTGGAGGTTTCAGGGCCCGGTGTCAAAAAGTGTTGAAATTCTACGGGATATATTTCCGGGTCATATAATATCGTTTGGAACCATATATTATCATTATTTGTTGTCATAAATGTTTGTGGTAGACTTGAGTTAATGAAATCGGTGCAAAATGTAAACTGGTAAATTGGTTGTTTAAAGGCAAATTGGATGGTTCCACCCACCCAATAGGACTCCTGGAGGGTATTAAAGACCATGGTACACATTTCGGCAATTTTTATTTCCGGGCCAAAAAAAGTAAAAAAAATTTATAATATGAAGAAAGATATATCCACGCTTTTTGAGAAATTTTGGAGTATTTGGGGTCCGGTGTCGAAAAGTCTTGAAATTCATGGGAATACATCTCGGGGTCATATAATGTCGTTTGGAACCATATATGATCATTATTTGTTGTCATAAATATTCGTGGTAGCCTTGAGTTAATGAAATCGTTGCAAGTTGTAATTCGGTAAATTTGTCGTTTAAAAGCAAATTGGATGATTCCACCCACGCAATTGGACTCTCGTAGGGTATTAGGGACCATGGTAAACATTTCGGCAATTTTTATTTTCGGGAGAAAAAAGTCAAAATTTTCCAAACTTGAAGGCTAATATCCACACTTTTTGAGAAATGTTGGAGGTTTCAGGGCCCGGAGTCAAAAAGTTGAAATTCTAGGGGATATATCTCCTGGTCATATAATATCGTTTGGAACCATATATTATCATTATTTGTTGTCATAAATGTTCGTGGTAGGCTTGAGTTAATGAAATCGGTGCAAGTTGTAAACCGGTAAATTGGTCGTTTAACAGTAAATTGGATGGTTCCACCTACCCAATTGGACTTCCGGAGGGTATTTGGGACCATAGTAAACAATTCGGCAATTTTTATATTCAGGCGAAAAAAAAGTCAAAAAATTCCAAAATGGAAGGCTATATCCACATTTTTTGAGAAATTTCGAATGCTTCAGGGCCTGTTGTCGAAAAGCATTGAGATTTTAGGGAATATATCTTGGGGTCGTATAATGCCATTTGTAACCACATATGATCATTATATTGTTTTCATAAATGTTCATGGTAGGCTTGAATTAATGAAATCGGTGCAAGTTGTAAACCGGTAAATTGGTCGTTTAAAGGCAAATTGGATGGTTCCACCTAGTCAATTGGACTCCCGGAGGGTATTAGAGACCATGGTAAACATTTCGGCAATTTTTATTTCCGGGTGAAAAAAAGTCAAAAAATTACAAAATTGAAGACTAATATCCACGTTTTTTGAGAAATTTTGGAGGTTTCGGGTAGAGGTGTTAATTAGGGTAAACGGGTCGGGTTGGGTCCGTAAGAGTGGGTCAGGTCATTTCGGATTAATTCCATAACCTATGCGGGCCGGGTTTGGGTTAGGTCATGCTTTAGTTAGGTCATGTCGGGTCATACTTCTTATCGGGTTTGGGTAGGGTTAATAACAGGTCGAGTTACATTTGGGTCGGGTGAACAATAGGTCGGGTTTAATTCGGGTTAAAACGTGTTAGGGTAATTCTCGGGTTCCGGTTCAAGTCAATAATTTGAGGGCTAGAATCAGGTCGGGTCATTTTCGGGTTTGAGTCGGATTTGATTCAAGTCAATAATTTGCGGATTATAATCAGGTCGGGTCATTTTCAAGTCGGGTTATTTTCGGGTTCAAGTCGGGTTCGATTCAAGTCAATAATTTGCGGTTGTAATCAGGTTGAGTCATTTCCAAGTCAGGTCATTCTCGGATTCAAGTCGGGTTATTTTTAAGTCAATAATTTGCAAGTTATAATCAGGTTGGGTCATTTCCAAGTCGCGTCATATTCGACTTCAACTAACTATAAATAGATTATTATCATTTTTATCAAGCTAATTATTTCCTTGGACTATAATATATATGACTTAGTGATATACTAGAGGACTATAGTCTATAATTTAGGAAGATAATTATCTCCTTTGACCATACAACAAATATATATTATATTTAACTCTTAAATTTGAGGATGATGCTCCTTCCTTTTGCTGCTTGGACCGACTTGGTCTTCCTAGACAAAATGTTTTGATCAACAATAACAAGGTGGTCTAAATTGCATTTAAGGTGGTTTGAAATCGGGTCTGGAACAATTTGGGTTGAATTTAAGTCAGGTCAATAACAAGTCGGGTTGATTTCGGGTCGGATTTGTAACAGGTTGGGTTAAATTTGGGTCAGGTTAGGAACGGGTCGGGTTGAATTCAGGTCAAGTTAGTAACAAGTCGGGTTAAATTCGGGTTTGAACGGGTTTGGATCAATTTCGGTTCAAGTCGGGTTCGGTTCAGGTCAATAATTTTGAGTTACATTCGGGTTGGGTCATCTCCAGTTCATGTTCGGGTTCGGGTCTCACATACTCAGGTCTAGGGTTGGTTTCAGGTCGGGTTTGGGTCACCATTTTTTCGGGTTCAGATGGGTCGGTTAATAATCGGGTTTGAGTCGGTATTTTAGGTGAGGTCAATTTTTGACAGCTCTAGTCAAATTGTACACGGCCTTTAATAGACAAGGTTAATGGGGCTAAAATAATAGCCCGATAATTTTGTACAAAAACTACTCCCTCCATCCCCAAATAATAGTCATGTTTGCCTTTAGCACAAGTTTTTAAAGAGGTGAATTTAAAAAAAAAAAAAAAAAAAAAAAAAAAAAAAAAAAAAAAAAAAGTAATGTAGTTTGGTTGATATGAGAGAGAGAGAGGGAGGGATTTTGTTGATTAAAAGTGTTTTAAAAAAATGAAAATAGTGGGGTTAGGTAACTTTGGTTGATTCCAAGTGAATAAAATAAATAAATTGTGAAAATAAGACTTTTAATTTGTGAAAATTAAGTTTGAAGTATAGATTTGTATTCACTTGGGTTCACTTTTGTCTCTTTCCTTTTACATTTTTCTTTGCTCTATTATTGACATGTCTATTATCGGCCTGCCATTGACTTGTGGCCTGCTTTGTTTGAGCCAGATTAACTCACTAATGACCAAACCTGCCCTTGACCCACACCAACCCCTAACCTGACCCGCCCAATAAGCAGGAATAAGGATGGGTATACGTCAAATCTAACAGGACTGAAACAATGAATCCATAGAATCTAGTATGCACAAACTTACAACCTTTGAGGACAAGTTAAAACATGTGTTGTCATTCTAAGAATTTATTGAGCCAGAGGGTCACTAGGATGTATCTTTTTAATTAAAGTGAGACTTACCGTATGAGATCAGTGATAGATATGATTTTCAGTTTCTCCTTGTTAGCAAATTCATGAAGCTTGGCAAGTCTCTCTGTTGAGCCATCTTCACAAGAAAGCTCGCACAAAACCCTAACTGGTTCTAGCCCAGCAAGCACAGCAAGATCTACAGCAGCTTCTCCGTGCCCGGCTCTTTCCAGAACCCCTCCCTCTCTATACTTTAGCAAAGAAACAGGACCTGAACAGCAAAAATCCTCAATTTTGGACTCCGTTGATGCTAAAGCCAGGATAGTGGTTTCCAAGTCATTACTGCAAGCAGTTGCGGCGCGTTCCACCTTCTGTAAAGCACATCATAAAAAAATTGTCATGAAACCCTTGTAATAGATGATACCATTAGGAAAACTTTATGCAGTCATTGGATGACTAATGTATAGCAGCATGCCAGCATGTAAACGGTTAACATTGATCAGAATCATTCGCCTCAAGCACACATACTTATTATAGTTCATAAGCCAGATTATCTCATTTATACCATGTCCTACTGTTCTCATTGTCCTGAGACTAATTTCAATCATTACAAACTGAAGCATTGAAGCATTTAATAGAGAAGCAAACAACAAGACCAAGAAATAAAATCAGATTCTCAAATACTGCATATAATACATTCACAGAGTACAGAAAAAAGAAGATTTGTTAGATATCATGTTCAATGGAATTGAATCAATTTCTTCTAGTCAATAAGTTTGTATGCATAGAATGTTAAATAGATCAATAATATCACATATCATTATGTATATTTTCTTAGTTCTTACCATACAGAGGTCCTGCTGTCTCTCTAAATCTTCCTCTTTCGTTGTCACATAGATGATCCCAGATCCTCGCCTCATAAAATAATCTATAGCTTCAGGTGATATATGTGAAGCTGCCACCATTAGATACCCTTTATTTTCTCGCTTTTCTTTACCTAAAATGATCACCATCTACAAAGAACAGATAGAGATGAAGAGAATGACTGTCTAAGTTGCCCAAAATCCAAATCAAACCTTGAAACAGAATATGATAGATATTCAAGGAGGGACTATTTAATAGTATTAATTATTAATTTTACTCCCATAAACATGTAGAGGATAGTGCCCATTGTCATGTATTTCCAGTTAAAGTTTAAAATTCATTTCGAACTCAGTTTTCCAACTTTATCTTTAACAATACATTTCTGCAGACACTGGATCTAATATGAAATATGGTGGCTACAGAGAGCATTGCATAAGCACACTCATATATGTTTAAAGATAGACGATTGAGAAAGGTAGAAAGTGAAAATACTACAAGGTGAATTGCAGATAACCCTCTACACCTCTCAAACCTCCCAAATTAGCAATATAGAGAGAGATAAAGACTATAGAGAAGAGAAGAAAACAAAATAAAGAAATAACCTTCCCTTGACGGATATCATCAATGGCATCCAAAATGCAAGTAAAACCTTCTGTAGGACTGCTTACAGAACATTTACCATTACTACCACAATCTGTCGCGGAATCAATATTTATAGCATTAAGGATACTGCAGATATCACCGTCTTTGGCAACTGTTGCAGCAACTTCTGTCATTGCAATTTCCTTCTGTGACTGAGACACTGTCAATGCAAGTCTCTGAAAGTACCGAAGTTAATACACGCTCTGCATAAGAATGAGGAGAGATTGTGAGAGAATTAGACATAATATAAGAAGACTAAAATAAAATGAATGATGCAAGGAGAAAAGGAGAGAATGCTAGGGCAGAAATCTCAGCAGAGGGAATGTTCAGTCATAACTCATTACCAGCCAAAATGCGGTACAGGAAACTTATATACAGCAAAAGCAAGAAAAAGGCATATTTCACTGAAAACAAGATAACTGCTACAAAGTAACCTTCCTAGCAAAACACAACAAATCCGTAACATGTTGCAACACACAACAAATCCGCAATTCTGTATCCATAAAACAAAGCATGACAATTTCAAAAGCATATACATAAAACAGCAAAAGAAAGCAAATGAGTGAGAGACTGAGAGGGGTATGTGTGTAGGAGGCAACCAACCGAATTACAGAGAACGAGCACAACCAGAACTAATCGAAAAATAATTCTTAAGCAGTTAAGGAAGGCAGATGATGGTGCAAAAAGAGGAAGATTCATGTATATATGCATATTCAGACAAAACACGTTGAAAATGTCAATGATCTATAAGAAAAACACAGGTAGTGGGCAGCCTCAACAGAATTAGCCAATTCGGCGCCAATTTGCAAACCCACTTGAGAAAATTCAATTACTCATGGACTCAACATGTGCAGATGGTATGCTCAACTTTATATTTTCTTGCTTCAATATATTTCAAGATCAAATCTGTTTATTTTAGTTGCAAATGGTACAATTTTTTAAATACATCACATGATTGAAAATAAGTCAATGAAGAGAGATAAATGGGTAAATGAAGAACACCGAAATTCTATAGACCAGGGACACCATACTGCATATAACAAACAAGTCTATGAAATAGCTTTTAGACAACAGGAAGCTAATACGTAATAACAAATCGCGAGCTTAGCAATGTCAAGATATCTGACACTCCAACACAATTGAAACAAAAGTGTTTAAGGAAAATTCAATACAACTTTCTGAGTAAAGAAAATTTGGGAAGGTTGACAGAGAAAAGGGGGTCTCATACAAAGAATGATCCTCAATAAATCATTACCAGGAATCTATATAGCATTAATCAGCAAGCATGATATTCAATTTGGCTTAATTTCCAAAGGCAGATACATACTAGGCAGTATATATAAACTTATAGCCATTAGGGGAATGTTATTGAAGTTAGACACAGTTATGTCTTGAGAAATCAGTTTGCTAAGCCTTTCTAAAAGTAGATCAACCAGTATGATCAAAACAAATTCTCTGTTTATAGCATTTTCCTTCAGCCACAGGAAACATGCTACAAAAAGCAGAAGCATCAGTGGTTCCATGCTCTTATTGCATTTAGAAGCAATAGCCCCAAACAAATTAGGACAAAGAATTCGTATAGATTAAGTTAAATGTGGATTAAAGTTATTTCAGATATAATTGGCATAACTAGTAAACTAATATAAGACAAACATACATGAATTTATATCATGCAGAAAACTTTTTTTGTTTCCTTTTTTTTTTTCTGAAATTCGAATACTATGTACCTGAGAACTGATAATACACTACTGATGATCATGAGGATTCCAGAATGTATCAGCTCCAGAATGGTATAGATGACATTTCTGCACAGATCATATTGTGTATAATAAGGTCATTAAAAGACCAGATTTTTTTTTTTTTTTTTTTTTTTGTCCAATTCTAGTGATTGGCACTGGTAAGATATACCAAGGGTAGCTACCATTCTTTGACAAGAGGCACAGTACAGAGAAAAGTAGCAGCTGAAAATTCTTAAACCGCAACTGAAGCGTAGATAACCCAGACTAATGAATCAGGACTTGTGGCCTGGGATGAGAAAAATCCAAGAATTCACTTAACAATATATTTCACCAATAGTCACTACAAGAGCAGCTTCCGTCCTCAAAAAAGTGAAACCTGTTTGAATCCCTCACAATTATTTTTCTTTTGGTAATCCTAGAAATAAATTTGATTGCAGTATGACAGTCTACACAGGTCCTTAAATTTTTATACACCTTGATTGGTGTCCCAGGTGGAGTAGAGATGATTCCGAAAGCAACTGCAAGCTTCTCACTGTGGTAGGATAAATTCTGCTCCTTTTGCTCTTCTTCTACATCATGCAGGACAAAGTCAGTGTCTGGCACATAGCCTTCTTGCTTCATCTTTTTTGAGACCTCTGTCAAGAATGCATGGATTTGATTGTAATTGGGATGAGAAATATCACCCACAAGAAATCTGTGGACCTCTCTATGGACCTCAATCCAACTCAAGCCTGGCTTCTTAACCACCCCTCTATTATCCATCATTTTTCTGACTTTTTCCACCTCCTCCCATCGACCTGCAGTGGCATATATGTTGGCCAAAGTTGCATAAGTAGCAGCATTTTCAGGCTCTATCTCAAACAACGCTTTTGCTGCTTGTTCTGCTAGTTCCACGTTTTTATGAATTCGACAGCCACCAAGAAGAGAAGCCCACAAAAATTTGTCAGGCTTCATAGGCATTTTACTAATGTATTCTTCAGCTTCCTTGAAACGGCCAGCTCGGCTCAGTAGATCAATGAGGCAAGAATAGTGTTCTACAATTGGTGTTAGTCCATGGCGATCCTTGATTGAGTGGAAATATTCAATTCCCTTCTCGACTAATCCTGCATGAGTACAGGCAGAAAGAACTCCAACAAAAGTGACATGATCAGGCTGAGTATCTGATCTGAGCATCAACTCAAAGAGCTCCAAAGATTCCTCTGTATGACCATTCTGTGCAAATCCAACAATAAGTGAAGTCCATGATACTAAATCAGGCGTACACAGTCCTTCAAAAGCCTTTCTTGCACTCCTGACATTCCCACACTTGGAATACATATGAACAAGTGCACTTGCAGCAAATGAATCTGGATTAACACCAATCCTGATCATATTCCCATGGACCTGCTTCCCTACATTCTCCAATGCTTGATCTGCACACGCGTTCAAAACCCCTGCAAATGTAAACTCATTTGGTCTGATTCGAGACCTCAACATTTCTGCCAACAATGTGAACCCGTCTCTCCACTTCCCATCCTCAAAATATCCATCAATCATTGCTGTCCAAGAAACAACATCTCGGTCCACAGTTTTATCAAATATACGCCTAGCTCCTTCAACACAGCCACATTTAGCATACATATCAGACAGTGCACTCCAAACTGCAGAATCAGATTCCAAACCCAACCTCACTATACGCCCATGAATCTCTTTCCCAGAAAGTAAACTCGGTACAGCAGCAGAAGCAGCAATCACACTTGACATAGTAAATTTGTTAGAATCAAAATTCCCAATACTCTGCATTTCCCTGTACAAATTCAATGCCTCCTTTGGCCTCCCATGTTGAACATAACACGATATCATAGCAGTCCAAGAAAACCCATCTCTCTTCGGCATTTCATCGAACAACTTACGTGCGTTTTCGACCTTCCCTATTTTCGCATACCCTTTAATCATAGTATTCCAAGAACATAAGTCTCTCTCAGACATTTCATCAAACACCTTCTGGGCATCCCTCAAACTCCCACATTTAACATACATATCCATCAAACGATTCGATATAAAAATCCCAGGAATAAAATCCGAAGCATTGATATGACCATGAACCCTTCTTCCCTCTTGAAGAGCTCTTTGTTGAAGACATGAAAGTAACAGAGAAGAGTAAATAGAAGCAGAAGGACGATGAATGTGACCCAGCAAATGAACAGCTTCTTTAAGAAGCTTTTTCTCGCATAGTATATCAATGGCTTCCTTGAATCTTCCATTTCTACATAATTGGTTTATAATTTCCTCATTGTGAACTGGGTGATTAAACTTTTTCTCCAAAAATTGGTTTTGAGTGTGTTGATTAGTGTTGATTGAAGAAGATGATAAGAGTCTCCTTTGAAGATTGATTCTGAGGAGAGAGAAACGAAGAGGAGTTGTTGCTGCCATTGTTTCACAGTGTTGAGTGCAGAGCTCAACGACAAAGATGAGTCAATATGAGAGGTTTTACCAAAACCTCGGGTGGGTCAATCAGTAACCACCCATTTACAAAACGGATCATGTTATTAGCCCAAAAGTTTTTTGTAGTTTTCCAACATAAAAGAAAGAAACACACACTCTATTGAGATTATTAAATCCTATTATTAATTAAAAATATAATTTTTAAAATTATAATTTTTAAAAATTAAGCACATATTCATCGTAACAATCTCATGCAATAGAGATTATGTTTACCATATCTATAATAAATAACGTATTTAAAGAAATAAGTATTTACGACACTCATGATAGACGGAGCACTGTATTTCCAATAGGATCCTAGATTATTTCAATTTCGCTTGAACTTTTTTGACTCATAGTTGCATGAGAGTTGAGACTTGAGACAAGTTTCTTAAATGGAGTTTTTGACCTTGCATGATGTAAATTTGATCCAATCAGTTAAGTACTGAACCCTAAATCGCGAGTTTGATCTACACAGAAATGACAGAACCTAGTAGAACCCATGATCATTGGAATAATGCATACTCCACCCTAAAAAGAGTGAAAACCTACAGCATCCAACAACCACCTGAACAGCTGCAACAAGCCTTCTGATACAAGTCAACTGCACACGATCATAAACAAAATCTCCATCTAAAGTACACTGTATGTGATAATCTCCCTGTATTAGATGTGGTAAGACTAAACAAACAGTATAAATACATCTCTGATGCCTAAGCTTGCCCAGGATACAACCACAGTGACACAGGACTTCAGAATATACTGTACAATGTAGACAGACAATAAGTCATCTACTCCAGACTTTGATTTTACAAAGGAACATAAACTACCCTGAAATCTGTTCTAAGCTCTACTCATGCCAATGTCCATTATTATAGCATAACAAACATGAAGCTTCAACAATTTCGACAAAGTACATGAATAATATAAAATGCATATATTACAATCCTAAAGGACCAGGGGAAACTTGGATCTTAACACTGTAAGTGGGGGGCAGAATCACCCAGCAACACCTGACCCCGCAAGGCCTCTACCCTCCCCATTTTAATATTTTTTTTTTTTCTTTTTCTTTCCCTATGACTACATGTATCAGCTGGAGCACAAAAGAAGAGAGGATAAAAGGAGCCAAAACATTTCAATCATGACTAATGAGCAACCAAATTGCCCAGAGTAGCAATGGGGATAATGTTGGAACCTCCATCAAACAGGAAGCAAAACATTTGGAGGATCACATTGCGTAAACTATCTCTCCGCTACTATCAATATCAATCTCAGAATCTGACAAGTCGTCAATATCTTCATCCATATCGAGAGTATCTGAGAGAAAATTGAGTGCTGATGACCCAGCAGCAGGGATGGTTGCCTCTGAAATGATTTGCATGATAGCATCAATGCTTTGCATGGGTTGCTCCAGCTCTTGAAATTGGTTGCTCATTGTATTCTCATCCATTAGATCGGTGGGAAAGTTTTTGATGAACCACTCATGCCTCTTAATCTCAGGAATTGAGATCCTCTGGAATGCACACTTACAAGTATAAGCTAAATCTAGCAAACGGTGATAGTAAACCAGCTAAATAGGAGAATCTCTTTTCCCAACATGCAAAAGAAGGAACATATGCCATCCCTCACAAAAGCAATAATCATTCTCAACCCCCATCCCCTGACAAAAACAGGGAAAAGGCTATCAATGTCAAGAAAGAATACTTACCGACTCAGGTTCTTGAACAAAGATCCTGGAGATAAGATGGCGACATTCTGGTGATATGTTTATGCTGTCAGGAATTGCATACTGCACACTCAATATTCTCTGCAGAAAAAGGCGACACAGGAAAATACATATATTAATCGTAAGTATGTCAAACAAATCACCAAGGATAATAATCAGAGTACACACTTGAATCATCTTCCGAAAATCCTTTGGTTCCTCAGGGTCCTCAAAAGGGTATGCGCCCACCAACATTACATACAAAGTCACTCCGCATGACCACACATCTGCTATCTGCAATTCTCAGCATACTTCCATGTCAGTAAAAACAGCATACCACTTAGACATAGGGGCACATTGCAGTATTGAACTAGGATATGCATATGCAGAGCAATTATACTCTTAGAAAGATAGATAACATGCAACATACCACCAATAATACCAGGGAAAGTAGTAAAATGTCAACTATCCCTCTCAAGTACTCAAACTCAAATACTAGGAGGATTAAAGCATAAATCAAAAAGTGGTTTCTGTTTGGAGAGCAATACATTTTCCATATTTCTATCAACCCCTAGCTTTTCTAACAAAGACTTCAATTCTGTTATGATGTACAATTACTGTTACAATTACCTTACCTCAAACCCAAAAAAAGGGGCTTTGTTTGCCCATTAGGACAATTGCCTCCCAATGTAAAAAAGATTCTTATTTTCCTATCATGCTCTCAATTTGTTATTGCAGTTACAGAAACACTTGGCCATTTGAAACAACCGCGAAGGTGAAGTGCCCCCCGCCCCCCTCCTCTCTCTCCCTTGCAATTCAACCTTGATCCCAACCCAGCTATTTAAGACCTCTGCTCTCCTCCGGCCCATAAAACATTTTAACAAATATTCTCTATTTCCTATCATGTTCTCAATTAGTTATGCATATGTAATCTTCACTTTACTGATAGCCACCAGAAAACAAACTCAGTCTCTGATGCACACAAGCATGAAATCAGGTGGATTTTCAGTAACATAAACCTTTTGCGACTTGAAACATCCAGAAAAGGGAAATGTTGCCTTTTCAGAAACCCAACCCCTCATCCTTGATTCAACCTTGATCATATCCCAACCCTAATTTTCAAACCTGCTCTCCTCCAGCCCATTGTCACAGCCTACTATCTCCAGTGGAAATCCACCACCATATTGTTTGCTCATTTACAAATTTATGGTGACTTTATCAATAAGTTTGAAGATGCCCAGATAAATACTGCATCAATCAAGTTTAATGGTCAAGAATTTTATCATTGGTGATTGGTGAAGTTTGTAAAGAAATGCTCATAGAAGCCAAGAGGAACCAAAAGCAATAAAGTTTTGCTAAAACACTCAATAGCCTTGGAACGGATGGTATGCAACAGATGAAAGTTGTACTTCATGGAGTCTTTTTATTTAGGTCCAGTTGTTGCAGTTGTGCAGCCAGTCGCTTTACGGAAAGTAAAAAGACACTATGCCACTAGCACTACAGCTAAACAAAATTATTGTAGTTCGCATGTAGTTAATACTAAGCTTCACTTCACTTACAAAGTAAGGGCGGGCTATAATAACTACTTGCAACTGAGCTGACTTTTAAAATAATCACAGGTCAAAAATCTTCTTCAGATAATCCTTTGCCTTTCAGATCTAAATCCTGCTGAGCATCACCACTTTGTCCATTCCTCTCCAGCATGTATTCAGAACAGAGTTCAGTTGATAGTCAAGTATTAGCCACAATCAGGGAAACACAAGGGAACTCAAATAAGTCTTAAAAATCGAGGTATCCCCATAATATGTAAGCAAAGTGTCACAGACTCACAGTTCTAGGTTTTAGAACATATCAAATCCTATATGAGGCAACTCCCTTGTATGCTCGTACTAACATATATAAGTGCATGTTGAGTTCCTTGTATTTAGGTATGTTCTATGCTAAAAAAGATTGCAATAACATGTTGCGGGATGTAATGAAACAGTAAACAATTCCTGTTTAACATTAGCATTACTAGTTGGCAGCAGCTGTTCTTTCTATAGGCTCATTCAACAATTTCTCCATACGGAATTTATAAGATGGTTTTAAAAGCTCTCTAAAATACAGATGCCAATGCCAAAATGTCCACATGATGCCAACAATCAAACAGGAAAAAGAAAAAGGATACCTTTCCATCATATTCTTTCCTCAGTAAGACTTCTGGAGCAATGTAAGCAGGTGTCCCCACTGTGGATTTAGGCTGTGAATGATACACAGAAGACTGGGAGAAAGAGGCATAAGGTAGGTCATTAGCAATCCATGATAACCTAAAAGGTCTCTTCCAAAGTACTAAAAGTGTCTACATATAGCCTCAAACTAAGACATGAAAAGAATATTAATCCTCCATAATACAAGTGAAGCAAATAAATACTTATTTATGAAGCAGAGCACTGTATCCAATTGTGAAAACACAAATCTCTATGCACTGAAACACAAAAGAACGAAGAGGGCCAATAACAGAGTCAAATGTGGTACCTTCGAGTAGCCAAAGTCACATATCTTCAAACGAGGAGCTGGACTTCCATCCAGTAAAGTATTTTCCAACTTTAGGTCTCGGTGACACACTTGCTTCATCATAAAATAAGACTTATAAGTAAGAGCCATAAAATTATCCTATTTGTGACTACAGATTTTTAATTTCATTAACAGTAGCATCTATATAGAATGTTGAAAGGCAGATACAGAAAGATTGCACTACAGACCATTGCATGACAATAGCTAACTCCTGAGATAAGCTGTTGGAAAAAGAAGCGAGCCTGCAGTCAAGCTAGTGTCAGTAGAAATTGAATAAAATAGTAATTAATACGAGAAGGGAAAAACAGTTGAAATCAAGAACCTCATCCTCACTAAAACGGCCTGCATTACATATTCGCTCAAAGAGCTCTCCTCCAGATGCATACTCCATCACAATTGCCAGATGGGTAGGTGTTAAAATGACCTATTCAGAAAGAGTGAAAAAAGCACTAAGCATCTCTAACTGGAATTGCTAAGTAAGAAAAAAAAAAAAAAAAAAGGTTCCGAATAAACCTCTTTAAATCTAACAATATTTGGGTGCCTTAATGACCGGTGATTGATGATCTCTCTTTGAACATTCTCATCTATCTGCAAGAAAACATAGCGAAAAGAGATAGCCGTCTCAAAACCCTTGTCAAGATTTCCTAAAACCATACTAGCATAGCAACAACGATTTCCTAAAAAAGGGAATTATATCACTAACATACGACACTCAGAACATTGGTCAACCATAATATCAGAGTATAATAAATCAAACCATTTACCTCTTAGCTATAATAATTTTCCTAACTTCAATTAGTTTTGGGTATCTCCTTCATAACAATCATGAAACCATGACAGTGGTTAACTCAATTCCAATTCCAATGAAACTGAAAGATTCACTCAGAATTATAGTATTCAAGATAGCTCGTAAAACTGGTCATTTGCTTTAAATCAAGGGTTTAATGAGAGCCTCTTTTGTCATGATACGCATCATGACATTCATCATTAGGTTAAGGCTGCTTACATCCAACTCCATCCTGGATGGGAGCCATTTCAATAGACATCGCTGCTGCACTGATGTTGATAAATGATGACAATGGTTAATACACAGTTTAAAATATAAAAGAAAATAGGTCCACAGGACCAACTTTTGAACCTACTTCACATCTATTTGCATGTGTGCCTTCTCCTGAACTCAAGACAACCAAGCAACTAAATAAGTAGAAACTCTTATATTTCAGCACACAGCTTATGAAAACTCTCAATATTAAGACGCAATTTCTTATTGTACCAATCTTAGGAACACAACTTGATACTCTCTAAGTAGCAAATCCCTACACCATAGCCTCAGTCAAAGATTCATTCGAAACACCTTAGAGTCTCAGACATGTTATAAGGTATAACTATAAGTTAGTTAAGGTTTTGAAGCAAAAATATCCAAGGTTTTGCATTCGAATAAGAAAAGAAAGTTAATATCGTAGAAGCTTTTGTCCTCAACATTCCAATGTTTGCCTACAAGGATACTACATATTTTGACTAATTTTGCCTCTAGAGTCAAATAAAAATAACTTATACGTTCAACTAACATATTAACAAGTAACACCCCCATCAAGCCGAATTCTCCAAGAGTCACATATCATACACCATCGACGAGTCAACCAGAACCTATTGTAAGTTAGATTAACATGTTCTTAACAATCTTCCGTTCTTCACCAACAACAGCATTTTGCAACCAGCACACAGATATGAAACACCTCATACTCTTCATATCAGGTTCAAAACTCAAACACTCAAATAGTATCAAATTCCACATTTGCTATGACCGTTATGCCATATTAAATGTCTCACTTTCCAAACCTCACCATGCATAAATGCATATGACCTCCATTAATGATAAAAGTCTCCCTATTTTTGCAGGGCATTCCAAAAACACCCTTATAACCATTTCTAAAATCCCAAAAATAACCCCAATACTGGTCTTTTAAATGCATATCTGGGGAAAAACCTTTTTACTTAAAATAGCTGCACACCTGCACTTCTACAAATAGCATCACTACTACTAATAGCATCACAACGCCATCATTACTCATTTACTCCCAGTCAATCTTTATGTCTAATAACCATAAGCCCAAAAAAATCACTGCATTAAAACTTATACCAAAAAAATTAATAAATAAAAAAAGAGAGCATTGAATATCACAAAAGTAGAATATCTGCGTGAAAGAATCAAAGATTCCAGTCAAATTTATACCAAAAAAACGAAAGATAACCATCAAAACTCTTCGAAAAAACACCATTCACGTGAAATCCCAAGAAAAAGTTTATCTTTTTTTCCGAAACAACTCCAACAAAAAATTCCCAATACAAGAAATAAAACCCCACAAAAAAGCAAACAGCTTGCAATCAATACCACCATAACGGATAAGAATTCAAAACTCCTCCAAAAAAAATCAAAAAAAATAATAAAAAAAATCCAAAAAAAAAAAGAAAGAAGAAGAAGATGAACCTTATCTCCTCGTTCGATATACTTGACAGCAACAAGCTCTCGAGTGACTTTATCTCTCATCAAACGAGCAACACCAAAGTTTCCAGAACCAATATCTCGAACAAAATCATAACGGTCACTATCGTGCATAATCGGCATATCCATGGCAGGATTTACCGACGCTTGAGCTCGACTTCCGGCGTCCATTTTTTAATTAAAATTTTCCGACACCCCTTCTTCAATCGACGGTCGCAAATTCGTTCTTATTCTTCAACAATCTAGCAATTTCAGATCTTCCGATGACATTTACAGCAATCAAACGAAACGGTGTCGTATAATTTGAATTGATGATTTATAAAATCAAAAACCCTAGATCGGCGAATAATTTCCGATTAATCGGTCAAAACTTATTCAAATGAGTGAGAAAGTAGAGAGAGAAATAGAAAGATAGGTAAAGAGAGTGATGTATGAGCAGCAAAGAAAGAGAGGATTTTTTATGAAGGTAAAAAGGGAAAGGACAAAGAGGCAAAACGGCGTCGTTTATGATCCGGTTGCCTTACTGGGGACAAATTAATATGGTTTATTGATGATATTTTTTAATTAATTAATAATTAACCGCGTAAAATGTGTTTGGTTAAGTGATGCAGAAGATATTTTGGGAATTAAAAAATAGAAAAAATAAAAAAGACGGGTGTTGGAAAGTGATTGGGTAAAAATGTAGGTAGCCCATGTGGAAGTGTGGAGAATCTGCAGGTGGGCGGTAAAGTCGGTTACCCGAAAAAATGTTGTTATAAGGCCCAATTATTTGTGCTTTCAGATGCTTTGGTATGGGTATACCACTTATAAATATCTTGTTTAATAAATTAATCATCTTTAGTTATTAGTCTACTACAACCAATATTTGTTAAGATCTAAGCTATTCGTTATTTTGTGCGAAGAATATATATTGAGGTGAACCTTTTTGTGATCTTCATGTTTTAATTTGTGTTAGCATTCTGACCATTCACCTTCCTGCATCTCTGAAGACTAGTATCTTGCAAAAATCACAATAGTAATTGGCTTTTCCTGTTCGGGTGGTTATAAGAATTCTGCCTTTTATTACCAAAATTCCCATTAAAATTCTGTTGTATGTTCTTTTCAAAGTTATTGTAAATCTTATTATAACTTCTTTTATTGACAGCAAATGCCATAAACTCTGAGTCTAAACTGCTTTTGTTCAACTGCTTATGTTTTTCTTCAATAGTAGGTAATGGCTGCTGCAATAACAAACTTCCCCTCATAACCTTATATCCACCATTCAACTTCATCGAGAACACAATTAACCTACTATCCTGCTGAGGTTTCAAGAGTTTTTGTGTGATTGAACATGTACAATTAGCACAAGAACATGTAGGAAGAGGATCTAACTCATCAATTTGATCCCATACCGTTCAATTTTTGTATAGAAAGTTGAAATGTCATCCATACCTTGCTCAATATGATCCCTAGATTGTTGTAGAGCATAAAGAACTGTACCAGAAGAAGCACCAAATCTTTCTTCAAGACTCACCCATATTTCTCTTGTTGTGTTGAAATACAACACACTTTTAGCCAAATTCTGATCTAAAACCCCCAGAATCCAATAAATCATCATGCTATTGCACCTATTCCAGGCCTTGTAAACCCTGAAGTCTGACCAGGTCTGCTGATTGAACCATCAACAAATCCTACTTTGTTCTTTGCCGACAAACTGATTAGCATTGAACGCTTCCAATCATTATACTCAGATCCATCAAACTTCTCTGAAACCAATTTAATGCCTGGATTATCAAAAGGATGAAAGATAAGAAGGTGAAATTGGATCTTGTGAAGGATCTAATGCGGACATTGCAGCCATTTGATCGAATTATGATGTTTGTATTTGAACAGAAAATTGTAAGATTATAGAATTTTGCAGGAAAAATGCTCGACAAATTTGAACTCAAAATCGTTTTATGTAGGCTCTGATACCATGTAAGAGTTTAGAACTCAGAGATTAGAGAAATTTAGAACAACAGAACAAGGAGAAAAATTAGGGAAGAACAACAGAAATACTTGCTGTTTGATTTCTATTATTAGCTCAATGTTTACAATAATGTGTTTGTAAAAATATGATTGATTGAATGAGTAAAGCAGTAGAATAGCATATTTATACAAGCTAATTATTATAGCTACACAATCTAATTATTACAGCTGTTAGTAACAACTAAGCATAACAGAATTAGTTAACCATTAACAGAATTAGTTATTCTGTTATGACTTTGAGCTGATGTGGCTTCTTGTAATCTTGAAAACAGTCGGCTGCTGAACCTTATGGAACATTATTCTCATCACGTGTTTATCTGTTTTTTTAGAAAAAAAAAATGAGAGTTTAGATGAATTGAAAGTAGGTTAAAGTACATTTATACTAGAAAAATACATGCAAGTTAGAAAAGTGAAAAAAAAAAATTGTGAACAATCATTTCAAATTACTTTTCATTTTTACAAGAATTTTAGTTCTTATACATTAATTGAAAAAAATAGAACTAAATAGGTAAACAAATAATAAATAACCCTCTAATAACAGATGAAATAATTGTGTTGATTTGTTAGTGTATAAAATTAATTTGTGACGAATTAAAATATGTTAAAATGCGACAAATCTAGAGTATTTTTTATACTCGTAATTGTTTCATTACGATTAAAGATATTTAGCGATTAAAAATATCTCGTACTCAATCTGATCCAAACTTTATTTTTCTGATTAATTTGATTTAAAGTTATTTTTTCCGATTTGATTTAAAATAGAGTGAATATCTTATTTAGTAATTTATATCTTGATAAATAGATTGATATATCCAATCTTTCAAATAAATATGACACATTACACAATAATATTATTGTGGAATTAAGGTTTGCGCTATATTTAATAGAATGACCTTAATTTTAACATAATAACTTTATTTTTAACTAGTAATCTTAATTAAAATTTGTGTGATCTTTGATGTTAGTGTGAACCTAAAATACAATGTTAAGTTGAACGTACAACACTAATTTTAACACCTTTATTGTTTAAGTTGACTAGCATGAGTATATTAAAATTTTCATTTAAAAAAACCTCTTATAATAGTTTTATAATGTCACAAACACACAATTATTTTTCTTTCAACATAATAATCTTTATTTTAGTATAGTGACTTCGTTTTTATTAATTAAATATCTAATGTTAATTGTCTACTCTATATGTGACATGCCAACAACGATAATCGTGTCCATTATACTTAATTTTGTTTTTCAATCCTTTTGCAAGATAAAGAGCACACTAAATCATAAATCATTTACTTTTTTTAATTTTTTTTAAACACCATTCACTCATTGTAATATAGTAATTTTTTTTTATTATTATTAATAAAACAATCAGTGTTCCTAATATTAAAAGAGTGTTAAATACCGCCATTTAAATTTATCAAAATCGTCATCATTTCAAGTAAAGTGTCAATCTTGCCCCTACTAAACCCCCAACCACCACAACCAAATATTAGAGATTACCGACAGCTGTTCGTGGCGGAGGAAGGCAGCGGCGGCTCGAAACCAGCCAGGGGGCTAATCAGGTGGGTGTCAACTGTCAAGGGGTAGCGAAATGGGTGGACATGAGGAAAGTTTTCCAGTTTGATTTCGTTTTTTTCTTTTACAATTGTTAGCTGGTAACCGGAGCTGAAAACCAGTTGCCTGGTAACCGATGGTCATAACCGGTTAATCGCAGCGGTCAACCGAATTTGGCGTCCGGTTATCGGCAGCAGGCAACCGATTTTAAACTTTGGTTACTAGCCACCACTATTAGTGGAGTATACACAGGTTCTAATTCGTAGACATATGAGTTTTTTTTTTTGTAAATACAAAAATAAATAAAGAATAAACAATCCTAAACACATCCCAGAAAGAACCAACTACTGGTCTTGTACAAAGTTATTTACGAGTATCGTTTTGTTTAAGCACTTCATATAGTTAGTTTTCCTGTCAATCTATCTACCGAGGTAAGCACTCATTAGTTCAATTTCTTTATATTTTTACAATCTATAATCTTAAATTTCATTAATTTTTCGTCGTCGTTGTAGTTGTCTGGTGTAGAAGGTAGAGGTTACATTGACACGGTGGATAGCTCTCGCTCCGCTCGTTCCCACCTGTCTTCCTCCAACCATAGTGAACTTTAAGAAAGACCCTTCATTTGGGTTATGGTGGTCGTGGTGGCGTGGGTTGTAACAGTGTCGTGATTGGTGGTGGTTGCCTTAGTTGTGGTTGCTATTAGGAAAATGGAAAAAAATTTAGTAAGGGCAAGAAAATCTCTTTGCTTAAAATGATGGTGGTTTGATTAAGTTTGATGACGGTATTTAGCATTTCACATATTAAATGGTCTATTTTATAGTATGTGACATGTTAACAACAAGTTAATGATTCATGTCCATTATACCTAATCTTGTTTTACAATCCTTTTGCAAGACAAAGAGCATTGCAGCATTCTAAACCATTCACTTTTTTTTCCTTAGAAAAAACCATTCACTCATTTTTTTTGAATGCATTTAAAGCACAAAACATTAAGGATGTACTAGGACGGTGGGACCCACAAGTTGTCACACATTTTGGCCCTTATTACCCCGTAACCCTTTTTTTCACCTTAAATTCAAAGCAAACCCCGTAAAGTTATACAGTATTCTGTATTCCAGTTGGTATTACAAACAAATTTGGTGAAAATGGTTTCAGATTCTGAGCTTGCAGAGAAAGTGCATGAATTTTTAAGTGGGTCTGATTTGAAGAAGACGACTAATAATATCATTAGAAAAAAATTAGAGTCTGATTTTGGGGTTGATTTATCTCATAAAAAACCTTTTCTCAGAATCCAAGTTGACCGCTTTCTTCAAACCCAGTACAAATTTTCTGAAGAACAAGATGATTATCTTGATGCTGCGGTTGTTAGGGGTGATGAAGGAAACGACGACGTTTCAGATTCTGAAGACGATGAGTATTACGAGGATGAAGATGAGGGTGAATTATCTGTAGGAGGAATTAGAGCAGCAGCAGATACTTTCAAGGGTATTAGCAAATTCAAACGGTAATTTCAATTCTTTTGAAATATTTAGATTATTTTTCTGGGGTTTGATTATTTTTATGTTAGCTTTATTAATTTTATTTGTATGATTGAATTTGGTGTATTAGTTACTTTTTGTACAGTACATGCATGGTTTATTTATACAGTAATGAGGGTTAAAAAAAAGTTTAATTTGATTTAGTTGTAGGATATTTGAATTTCTGTATAAATGTTTTTGCAAGTAATGGGGATTAATTATTTAATGGCCAATTAAAGACATGGGATCCTACATTTCAATGTATGTCAGTAATTCAGCAAAAACTGACTACTTAAAGTATTGAGTAAAGATTAAGAGTTCATGTACAATTGTAGAATTTAAGAGTACACATAGAATCCTCGATGTTAGTACTCCGTTGTATGAGTACTGCATTATGAATTTATGATTAGATGGTATTTTGTTATAATTTTGTTAAACAAATGGCTTATTTGTGTAAGACCATGTTTAGCAGATTTTGACTAGTGGGTTGTGTTAACTGATTTATTGGCTAAGTGATTGTATTAGCTTATTGCATAAAAATGTTTGGTAAATAGGTGATTGAATGCCGTGCCACTTGCTGAGGATAAAAATTGAGACTTTGAGTATGTAAAATGACCACAAAAAAAAAAGAAAAAAAAAAAAGAACATTCACATGTTTTATTGTGAAGCATTGGCTATTGTTAAAAAGAACATATATTTGTTGTTTTTTATTGAAAAATTAAAAATTGTATACACATATCATGTAAATTAGACTTTAATTTTAAACAAATTGTTTTTTCTTTTTTTATGAAGTAAAGTTAACCAAGATTTATTAATGCACATCAAGTTCCGCCAAATAATTTTTTGGGGCAAAGAGTTAATACAAATTAATTCATAACAATAATCAGTATATCATCTTGCCATTACATAAAAGGGTATCATATTTTAACACAAATTTATCAAGAACCGAAGACAGCCTCATACTGTCTTCATAGATCAACAAATTGCATCTTCATTGGGGATGAAATCTCATTTAATAAAATAATTTTTTTTGAGAAACCATGGATGAAGAATATATTATGATAAGGTCATACGTATATATTATCTTACGAAGTAAAAGAACATACATTTCAAATGAAAATAGAACGTTATACTGTTCAAATTCAAAGAGCATGTCTAGTATCCATCATAAAAGAGCATAGGTCACAATGAAAACATATTCTAAAAACTATACAGTATAAACTATCAGAACTTACTGATGTTCTTTTGAAACTAAATGTGTATCAATCCATTTTAACTTCATTATCCTGATTTCATCAGTTGATACTTCAAAATCACCAAGTAGGACGTTAAGAGAGTTATTAAATTTTTTCCTTTTGCCAGAACAAACATCGACGTCAACGCACAGAGTTCATAATGGGTTTCTTGTCCAAGCCAGACCCTTATGTAAAAGTAGTTGCACATTTTGTAACTTTTATGGTTCAATCTAAACTAAGTTAGGGTTCCCAGATCCTAAGTGACTAAGTGTCCCAAACTCTATTTAAGACCTTGTCCATGTCCATCACTGTTTTGGTCACTGATATTGACATGGTCATGGTTTGTTCTTGTCAAGAATGTCAACTCCTTCTAGCTCTATGAGACTGTAATGTTGTTGAACATGGCAAGCCTAGCATAATTCATGCAATAAGTTATGGCTGTAGACTTGGCCTTTACATTTCTACGAGATTGTGATGTTGTTGGATCAGGCAAGCAAAGGATGAACATGCAATGAGGGATATTTGGCCCTTGGATGAAGCTCAAAATTATGCAATTTTTTGGAGGGAGGCAAAATATATAGGGGATAGAAACGAAAATAGAGAGATATAAGGCGGAATTTGCTAATAGTCATGCAACCTTTACATGAAGGCATATTGGGAAAATTCATTTCGGTTTCTTTAAACTGGGATATCTGTGATTTAGATTGTTAGTGTTGTACGAGGTTGACATAAAGATATCTCCCCACTCGATCAGTTTTTATTTACTTGAGTGATTTTCTCAAAATGACCTGTGTAAAAGTTTCATAATGCAAATTTTAAAGATATTAATAATATATATATATTAATTCCAGGTCTCGCCGACAAAATAAAGTGAAAAATAAAAGAGTGTGCGAGTCTGGCAAGTTCTGTACGCTGTCTCCTGCACTCCAGAAATTCCTCGGAGTACCTCACTTGATAAGGACAGAGGTATATGCTGAACATTCTCTATGTCATCATCAATTTTCCCATGCTGTACAATACACTTCCGGGGATGTAATCAGGGAAATGTTTGCTGATTGCAGGTTGTCAGACGATTGTGGAGCTATGTTAGAGATAAAAGGCTGCAAGATCCTCAGGATGGAAAGACTATCATTTGTGATGAAACATTACATGAACTTTTTGGCGTTGATTCCATCAACATTCTCCAGATTCATAGTGCCTTAACAAAACACATTTGGCCGTCAGGTACATATTGATACTTCTGCTTCCTTTTGCGGTGTGTACAGGCTAAATTTGGTGCAACATATAGATTCAACTAGATGCATAGGGCATTGCAGCTTTCCTAGATCAATTGGCTCCCAGTTCTTAAAGGAACTCTGTAGTTAAGTCCCCTATTAGTTATCAATGGGTTTGCACGCCGAGTCTCTTGACAGTCTTATCTTCAGTTGCCTGGGGCTCTGTGCAAGAAAATGTTGTTTGGGTCAGTCCTTTTCCCCCCACATCAGGATTTTTTTTTCAATCTTGTTCAGATCATCTTTGGGTCATTGCAGCTTCATTTTTTCTCCTCAATTTCCCTAATCTGATCTTATCTATACTTAGCGTAACTCATCTGCACTTATTTTAGCTGTAACACTCCGTATGATTCTGGTATTTATTGTCTGAAAGTACTTTCTTAGATGAGAAAAGCAAGGCTTGTGTATATCTGCCTCTACTGACTGAAATGAATTTTGTATGGATATCTTGTAATTGCCAATCTATTAATGATACTTGCCCTCTGCCTGGATATCTCTGATGTTGAAGCCTAGTTATCCCTGATCACTTTGTTGATATGTTGCCACAATGCCTGATTGCCTTAGTCTATTGTCCTGACACAGCATATGCAGTTCTTTTGTTCTGAAATTCTTTATTCAGTTATGGTGATTGATTAAATGATTAGTAATACCCGTTATTGGGCTTCTTATTTCATACGCGCTTTAGTGCTGCAAAAAGAATGTTGAAACCATTGTTCATAGGCTTAAAATTGATTCGCATGCTGAAGTATTACAATATTCTTCCAGAATAACTGAAACCGATTTAACATGCATAATATTTTGCAATTTCAGAGAAGTCGGTCAGGAGAGAGAAGCCACGGAAGCAAGAGAAGGAAGAAGGTGAGGACAACAGTGTGCTTTCAAATTTCAAGTTAATTACTAATGTTAGAAATTGTAAGAAATCTGGCTGGCATACAATTGGTACCAATCATCAAGCCATTTTGCCATGAGTTAATATGTTATTTCTCTCTTAGTGTGTTCATGTAGATTTTATTTATTTTTTTGATCCAGTTCCCTCATGATGCTTGAGGGTTTGCAGAATCTGAATATTGAATTGGTGGAGTTTAAGTTTTACTCGTACTAAATCACCTATAATCCATGTTTCTGATCTTATCCGTATCGTTGTGTTCTCCATTCAGATCCATTTGAAGCAAAGCCTCCAAGGAAAGTATATTCTGGTTTTCTTGCCCCTCTTCCGCTCTCAGACGCTCTTGTAAAATTCCTGGGTACTGGAGAAAGTGCACTGACCCGTGCTGTTGTTATAAAGAGAGTATGGGAATACATAAAAGAAAACAATCTCCAGGTATATATTTCATTGATCTCATAAGTGCATTAATGGTAAAACCATAACATTGGCTCAGTGTTAAGCATCATTGAGCTGCAACTGCAAGAGGTGCTACATTTGAAGCCGCAAACACTTGCCATTATAAAAGCCTACTACTCCTAACTATTTTCATGAATGTTGTGGTTTTTCTTGAAGGACCCATTTGCGAAGAAGACAGTAATATGTGATGAGAAGCTGAAGGAGCTCTTTAATGTCGACTCCTTTAACGGATTCATGGTCTCCAAACTCCTCTCTGCACATTTTCTGAAATTGTGACCATCTGCATTTGCTGAAGCCAACCTTTCAAGCTGTTATTGACAGAAGTTTTCGGATTCTAAATGATTATAATGTAGTTTGTATCAGCATGTAATTTAGGAGAGGGGGGGGGGGGGGGCGGGGGCGAAGGAGTGGAGGAAAGGTCAATCAATTAATTGTTTGTACTCCCTCCGTCGGTCCATCCTAGTATGCTCTAATTTCATTTTATGGATGTCTAGAGAACGTCTCATTTCTTGGAAATAAGCATGTGGTCTTATTACTTTACACTCTCGTCAGTATGTGGTCTTTCTAACTTATTTTTTCATCAACTTCATTAAACCACATATAAAAAGCGTGTAAAATGCTCCCGGTTCTTAATTATTTGGGGTCGGAGGAAGTATAGGTTGCATAGCTACATAATTCCAAGTATCCAGAGGTTAGGTGGTGGGCTTTATCTTAGTGGGTCAATTTAAAAACTGAGGTCCACTGGGCCTTGCAATGCTAGAATCTGGTGAAGTCTCACATGATGACTGAGGATTCCTTTTGAGTATTATTAGCAATATTCAGAAAACTATAAAATGTTACGAGTAATATTTTAGAATTACATATTGAAAAAATATAATCAATTTTATGAAACGAAGGGAGTACTGAGTCTTAGATGCTCGGAATAATTTGGGGAAAATCTTGCTTTATTCATTCATATATACTTTAAACTGTATCAATTCGAATAAAACCTAAGTATGGATAGTAACGTGGGAGTATTTAATCACACCACCAACGGATATGAACAATTTGGGTTTGCAACCAAAGGTCTACAATTCCGCATAAACTAAAATATGGATTCCAAAAAGCTCCCACATAGTGCCATGATTCCTCATTGTCTAATACAGAGTACCCTTTTTCTTTCGTTGTCTTAATTTTTGTCTATTTCTGTGAATTACAAATAATTGGTTTGATGTTACCTAAAACTTTGTGATTGTCATACATGGTACAGTAGATTTTTTTGATTTTTTTTTTTTTAATGTAAGCTTGTGTGTTGAATGATAAAGATAAAATGATCAATGATTTAAGACCATTCAATCTGATGTTTAAGATCAAATTACAATATTTTAAGAGCTTGTAAATATTATAGGGTATTTTGAGAATTTTCCTAGGTGATATAAGGACGGATCTAGGGGTTGGCTTACCAAGGCCATGGCCCGCCGTATTCCCATAAAATATTTTGAGTTATGTGTTAAATTGTTGTAAATATTTAAAGTAAAATTATTAATTGGCTGAGTTGGTTTGCATTGTAATTGGTAATCAATACATCTGCTTGTGTTGGATAGGGCTGGCAAAAATTGACCCGACCCGAAAACACGACACGAACCCGACCTGAAAATAGCGGGTTAGGGTTGAGGTTTTCGACCCAAAAATTTAAATGGGTTGACACGAACCCGACCTGAAATTTAAATGGGTTAGGTTAAGGTTGAAAATCCCAACCCGAAATTGACCCATATAACCCGAAAAAAATAAAATAAAAAGCCTAAATAGATCATCATACCAGCCCAAATTCAAAATGAGCCCACCTACTAACATTAAAAACCCTAACTCCTCAATTCTTTCTCACTTTCACTCAGCCGTTCTTATTCTCCTCCATTCTCTCTCTTAAATTTTCTCTCTCTTCATTCCCTAAAATCTTCTCCAACCTTTTTTTAAACCCTTAATTTCTATTTAATCCTTGGAATTCTTTTCATCAATCTACACTTCCTTGCGTTATCTCAATCTCTCCTTCATCAATCCAAGGTTGTGTTAATCCTTCGGCATTTTTCCACCACCATCACATCACGCTTTCTATGCTTCATCAGCCTCCTTCGGCGTTTTATGTTCTTTCTATACTTTCTACCGCTCGATCGATCTAACAACAGCAGGCTGCAAGCATCAACCTCATCGTCATCGAACAATATCTAGATGATATTTCCGCAAATCATTGAAATTGGAGAAACGTTTATGTTTTTTTAGTTTTAGATCTTATGTAATGTAATTTAATTTGGTATTTTATTATCTAATTAAGACTCTTTCTAGAAGGGCAGCTGTTATATGTTTATGATCTACACTTTTAATTTGTAGATGGTATCAATTTGATTATTTATCAATGATTTTCTTTATAAAATTAAGATGTTAATATTTAAAATTGAAATGGGAAATATTAGATCTGAAAATTAAAGTAAATTCAAAATCGAAAAAAATGATTTAAAAAAAAAAAATCAGGTCAGATTCGGGTTGACCCGAACCCGAAAAAATCAGGTTAGGGTTGAGCTTTTTGACCCGAAAAGTTAAATGGGTCAGGTTCAGGTCAGGGGTATTCAACCCGAAATTGAATTGACCCGAACACGAACCCGACCCGACCTGATCCGTTTGCCAGCCCTAGTGTTGGAGGTCATGCCTATAACTAACTTTTTTTTTTTTTTGGATTTAAATTTTTGGCTACTTAATTTGTATGGCATGTCCTATACTAAAAGTCCTGGACCGCCTTTAAAGTGATACAAAAATCGATTTAATAGTCACATGAAAAATAATATAATAAGTACTCCCTTTGTCTCAATCTGATTATCACATCGAGGATTGTAAAGAGTTTTAGGTGATAAGTTGTTGGATGTCTTTAATTATATTTTAATCGAAAAGAATATATAATGATTGAGAAATAGTGGAGGATTTTGTAATCAAATGAGAATGAATTAGCCCCATTTTTATTTTTATTTTTTATTTTTTTTTGTTGGAAAAAAGAGGTATTATTAACGTGTCCATGTCATAAATTCTTGATGATTAATATTACAATTAAATTAGAATGGACGTAAATATTATTGGAGTATTTGCAATTCTAGTAATGCAAATCGGAGATTTACCAAGTGAGTGTGCGAGGATTTAACGAGGGAGTGATATATGCAAGCTAAAGATCTAGCGAATGAGCTATAGCTCTAGCGAGGATAGATAGCTTCGGCAAGGCCGAGCTATAGCTCGGGTAAGAGAGAGCTATAGCTCGCTGCTGCTCGTGGTCGCTGCAAGGCCGAGCTATAGCTCGGATACGAGAGAGCTATAGCTCGCTGGCCATTTGCTATAGCTCGGGTTCGGGTGCACGAATTACGAAGGAGAGTTGCGTTAAACTTGGGGGGCGTGCGTCACTAGGAAACTTGTACCGGTGGTGGCGTATTTCGCTTCTAAGGCAGTGGATTTTGTTCCGCGGCGCGACTGTGAGTTTGGGATCTTCAATCCAGGAAAGTTCTAATCTTTTCTTGTTTGTTATTGATTTCAACAGTTATTTTACCAACAATTTAGAAGCGAAATAGAATTTGATTTATTCTGTTGATATCATGACTAGCAATTCTCAAACTCGTCTATACCTAGATCTGTCTAAGGTTGAGTCTCTTGATGGAATTAATTATAAGAGATGGTCACAAAGGATGTTGATTGCTTTTAAACAAGTAGAGATTGATTATGTTTTGTTTAGGGATGCTCCAAAGCCCATTGAGCAAACCAATACCATGATTGAAATTCCTAGTACTCCTGCTCCTGGGAATAAAGAATCTAGTTCTAGTCAAGGGATCACTACTATTACTGCTAATGAATCTGAAATCAAGAAATTTGATCGTGATAATAAATTCGTAAGAGGTCATCTTTTGAACAGCATGAAAAAACAACATATTTGATTTGTATGTCAATATAAAATCTGCTAAGGAGTTGTGGGAGTCTTTAGAGAAGAAATATGCTGCCGATGATGCTGGGAAAAAGAAGTATGTGACTGGAAATTGGTTGAATTTCAAATTGGTTGATACAAAGCCTATTATGGACCAAGTCCATGTGTATGAAAATTATGTTGCTGAAATTCTTGCTCAGGGTATGAAGATGTGTGAAATCCTTCAGGCTAATGTCTTGATTGAAAAATTGCCTGATTCCTGGTCTGATTATAGAAATCACCTCAAGCATAAAAAGAGGGATTTAACCCTAGAAGAACTTGTGAGCCACATGAAGATTGAGGAAGCCAATAGGCTTAAGGATGTTTCCTCTAAGCCTAAGAATGTGTTAGCAATCAAGGTAACCTTGTTGAATCTGGTGCTGACTCTGACAAGAAAACAAGTGATAATCGTGCCAAGAAGGGGAGCTCTGAGAAGAAGGGAAATCTCCAAGCTAAGGGCAAAATTGGGACGAAAGTCACTGGCAAGTGTTGGTCATGTGGTGAAGTGGGGCACTTTGCTTCACGATGCAAAAACAAGAAGAAGAAAAATCTGAAATCGAGTGGAGGAATCAAGGGTCATGCTCATCTGGTTGAGAATGAGGATAAAGATGTCATTGCTGCAGTTGTTTCTGAAGTCAACCTGGTTGATAACAACAGTGAATGGATCGTGGACACTGGTGCATCTAAACACTTCTGTGCTAACAAGGACCTGTTTGTCAGTATGGAAGATGCAAAGGAAGGTGAACAAGTCTACATGGGAAATTCAAGCAGCTCTGAGGTACTTGGAAAGGGCAAAGTGGTTCTGAAGCTGACTTCAGGGAAGACCTTAGCTCTTCACAATGTGTTGTATGTTCCTTCTCTTCGTAGAAATTTAATTTCTGGTGCTTTGTTGAACAAAGTAGGAGTTAAGTTAGTTTTTGATGCTAATAAACTTGTGTTAACCCGTAATGGGGAGTATGTTGGAAAGGGTTACCTTAGTGGGGGCCTATTTGTTCTTGAGATTGTAATTGTTCCTTCAATGAATAAGATTTCTACTTCTGCTTATATTGTTGAGTCCTTTGAATTATGGCATAGTAGGTTGGGTCATGTTGGTGCAACAAAATTGAAACAAATGAAAAGTTTAAATTTGCTCCCTAATATGTCATTAGATGGATTTGAAAAATGTGAAGTGTGTGCGGAGTCTAAATTCGTGAAGAAACCCTATAAATATGTCACGAAGAGAGAGACCACACCACTTGAGCTAATTCATTCAGATTTAGCAGACTTTAAGAACTTGGAAAGTAGAGGCGGGAAACGCTACTATATCACCTTCGTTGATGATTGTTCTAGATACAGCAAGGTGTATCTTTTAAGGACAAGGGATGAAGCTGATCCAAGTTTCTTGTGTATAAGGCAGAGGTAGAAAATTAGTTGGAGCG